CGCCCATGTCCTCAGCACCAGCGGCAGCTCCAACGCCCGGGTCCTCAGCACCAGTAGCAGCTCGAACGCCCGGGTCCGCACCACCAACGGCAGCTCCAATGCGTGGGTCCTCAGCACCAGCAGCGGCTCCAACGCCCGGGTCAGCAGCACCAGCGGCAGCTCCAACGCCCGGGTCCTCAGCACCAGCAGCGGCTCCAACGCCCGGGTCCTCAGCACCAGCACCAGCTCCAACGCCCGGGTCCTCATCACCAGCAACACCTCCAACGCCCGGGTCCTCAGCACTTGCAGCAGCTCCAACAGCAGCGGGGTCCATAACACAAGGCACGCCACTCCGAAGAGTGCAGCGCCGCTCGTACCACTCACGCATCCGCTCGCGGGAGGGGAGCTCCCGAACGGTAGAAGAAGCACTAGCACCAGTCCCAGTTTTACGTCCGGCTCGAGCGGTACCTCTCCGGAGGCTGCAGTACTCTAAGTACCACGCACGCAGCTGCTCCGAGGAGAGGGCTCCTCCAGGTGCAGGACTCCCAGACCTAGTACCTCCAGACTCAGAACCCCCAGACTCCGGACTCCGCAGCTCAGCACCACGAGGCTCCACACCCCCAAGCTCAGCACCCTCAAGCTCCACACCCCCAGGCTCCACACCCCCAGGCTCCACATCCCCAGGCTCCACACCTCCAGGCTCCACGCCCCCAGGCTCAGCACCCCCAGGCTCAGCACCCCCAGCAGGATGAGGCTCGACAGCTACCTCAACAGGCTCAACCGGGTCTACCTGAGACACACCTGAGGGAGCGGCACCCTGAGGGGGGAGGGGGTCTGCAACAGCAGCACCTGGCGCGAGGAAGAGAGGCGGGGGGGGGGAGCGGGGCAGTGCGGTAGGGGAAGAGGCGGTAGTAGGGGACAGACTCGTCAAAAGTGACGTCCTGGGAGGGCAAGACTCGGCGCGAGGTGGCGTGGTAAAACTGCCAACCAGGCGCGTCCGGGACAAAGCCGAGGAAGACGCAGGGAACAACACCGGAGGAGAGCTTGTCCGCAGACGAATCGCGGACAAAAGCTCAAGACCCCCAGACCCGGAAACGCGACGCATTGCCAACCTCCCTCGTCCACAGCAGCGTGGGCGAGGTCTCCGGCAAGGAGACACGGGGCCAGAGGTTGAGCTGATGCGCAGCGTACCGGACCGCAAACGGCCACAAAAAGTGGGGGGCAGCCGCATGGATCAAGGAGGTACGGGCGACCTCCATGACCAGGCCAATGCGGCGCTCCGCAACCCCATTCTGCTGTGGAGAAGCCGGAAGCGTGAACGACTGCTCAATGCCGCGCTCAGCACAGTAGGCCGCCAAGAGGTCGAAGGAGAACTCACCACCTCTGTCAGAGTGCAAGCGCAGGACAGGAAAGTCCGAGTGAAAACGCTCGTTGAGCTGGAGACGGGCTCTGCGGATCCAAGGGATCAAGACATCAGGGACCTCACCCTTGGTGCGCAAGGGGAAGACCGAGGTGTAGCGCGAGTAGACGTCAACAACTATCAGGAAGTACCTCTCCTGACCCTGACCGCGGACGCGGGCTGGGCCCCACACGTCCATGTGGAGTGTCTGCAAGGGAGCAGTCGTTGGGGGGAACGAGGAGGAGTGAGGAGCGGCGCGCTGCCATCCCTCGACACAGGGGAGACAGGTAGGAGCAGGCGAGGGTGGGAGGGCAGGAAGGACCCTAGGCAGGCCAGAGACAAGGTACCGGGAGTGCATGGCACGAAGCCGCTGCACAGACGGGTGGCCAAGGCGGTGGTGCCAGAGGACAGTCTCGTGTGCCAAAGAGCGACACGAGCAGGGGGCGGACAGCTGACCTGACGCGGACGCAGTCGCAGCAACCTGAGGGGACTAAGTAGTCAGTGTGTACAGGTCCGACCCCGGCTGCCGAGTGAAGGTAGCCAAGTGACGGCCCGTACGAGCACACGTGCAGTGTGTCACGTGTCGTAGGCAGGGGTGAACTGGTGAACACCCCCGTCCTGGAGTGCACATCCTGCCACCAAGTTCGTAGAGAACGAGGGGAGGTGGAGACCTGACAGTGTGCCCGACGGGACCACAGGGCAAGGAAGGTCAGTGGAAGAGGTCGCAATGACCGGACCCCCAGAGGGGTCAGCAAGGGAGACAGCAACTGGCCGAGCAAGCGGCTCAAGGGCAGTGCGGTCACGAAAGAAGCAGCGAGAAGCACCTGAGTCCAGTGTGAAGGTGTGCAATGCGGCAGTCGACGCAGTACCAAGGGGGGGAGACACACGAGCACCTAGAGCAGCAGCCTCACCAGCACCTGGGGTAGCCGACACGCGAGTACCTGGAGCGGCAGACGCACTGGCCCTAATGCCCGGGTCGGGCGGCACACACAAGTACTCAGCACCCTCTCTACTAGTAGACATCACATACATGGCAGATAGAATAGCATCAAAGTCTAGAGCATAGATATCAATCCCCTTCTTCATGAGATCAAGCCAGCGGGGCAGCTCAGTGGCCTGAGGGAACTGAACACGCCAAGCGTCGTCGAGACGAGAGAAGCAGCGCTGTGTGGCGTGCGGTCGTCCACACTGCTGACCAGTGCGGTCACCAGTGCGAATGACGTACGTGCAGCTAAGACCACCCCCACCCCCGTGCTAAGAGTACCAATCACGGACCTCCTGGGGCGAGGGAGTGTGCTGCTGGCCCTGGCCACAGCCAGTGCCTCCACGGCCACCACCACCGCTGCCACCTCCTCGACCACCCCAGCCCCTGCCGCCGCCTCGTCCACCGCCACCCCAACCGCCGCCTCCACTCCGGCCAGCTCCCCCGCCGCTGCCGCCACCACCCCCACCGCTACCACTCGCCCCTCCAGCCGAGCCACCACCCCCACTGCCTCCACCGCCCCCACCGCCGCCTCCCCCGCCGTCACCGCCACCACCCTTGCCCCCTTTGCCCTTGCCGCTGCGTCGTCCGCTCGAGGCAGACGCAGCGCCGACCTTCTTAGTACCAAGAAAATTGACAGCAGCAGCAGAGGCGTCAGAGGGAAGAAGGGGGGAAGGAGAACACCCCTCAAAGAACGGGGTACGGGGGTCGCCACGAGAGGCACCTACAGCGACTATGCTAGTCTTAGCTGCAAGTAGCTCCTTCTCGAGGAGGGCAATGGTGAGCTCAGTGGGGCAACTAGCTAGGAAGTGGTCCCTGACAGCACGCAGTGTGTCAGGGAGGCGGGCGACTAGGTGGTAGAGAGTGAGCCAGAGTGGAGGGGGGTGCGTGGCAAGGAACTCAGCAGGCATGGCGGCACAGAAGCGGGCCTCACTAGTACGGAGGTGCTTGATGAGGTCAGCGATTGTGTGAAAGGAGGCCAGGTCGGGAAACAGGTAGGGGAGGGAGAGACGGCCTAGTGCGGCAGAGGCAGGTGAGGAGTAGCGAGCAACTACAGCTGTGTACAGTGCCTGTGCAGTCTTGTGCTGACCAAAGTGCTCGCGTTCGTCTATCAGCAGGGAGTTGCGAATGGCGAAGCGAGCGTGGGCATCACGAGTCTGCCACTGTGAGCGAGCAGTGCTGTCAGCAGTAGCAGCAGGGGCAGTGACATGGCCTAGGGCGTGATCGTACAGTGAGATGTCATCCTTGGCTGTGAGCTGTAGGTAGAGGTGCAGGTTATCGAGCCAGGTGTCAAACTTCACAGGGCGGCCCTCAGCATCGAACACGAGAACGTGTGGGCTAGCCATAGGAACAGTAGAAATAGCAGCAGTAGCAGTAGGAGAAGCAGGTAGGACAAACCAGGTAGGGCAGGGCGGCGCGGCTCGGTTCAGGTGGCGCGGCTTGGTTCAGGGCGCGCGGCTCGGCTCGGGGCGCGCGGCTCGGCTCGGGGCGCGCGGCTCGGGTCGCGCGGCTCGGGTCACGTCGGGGATGGGCCTGTCAGAATATATTTGCTGTCTAGCCTGCAGTGGGGTACTCTGTAATGAGTACAACCCAATTTGGGGCTTTGTACTTGTATCCCAACTCTTGCTAGTGAAATCACTTCTCTTCCAATTTCTCGATACTCTCCCCTAGGAGAAACCCCACTCGAACTCACCTTGCCTACCTCCTAGTGTGGGCCTAGGCTACTAAGCCTAGGCCCCACCTTCTACTATTTTCACATGTTATCAGAGCCCGTTCTACCTTGGCCTGTGGGCCCCTATACTTCCGCTGCAGTCCTTCTTCCTGCCGCGCGCGGAGCGCGCGGCGAAATTTTTTTAGGGTTTCGGAGTTTTTCATCCCGCCGTGCGCTCGGGGCGCGCGGCGGTTTTCCCGTCTGTCGAAGCGCCCTCGGGGGGCCTGCGCGCTGCCCTCCCCGCTGCTCGTCGCGACGCCCGTGCGGGACCCGCGCGGCGTCGCCCTGCTCGTCGCGACGTCCGTGCGGGACCCGCGGGGCGTCGCCCCTGCTCGTCGCGACGTCCGTGCGGGACCCGCGCGGTGCCGCCCTACTTGTCGCGACATCCGTGCGGGACCCGCGGGGCGTCGCCCCTGCTCGTCGCGGCGTTCGTGCAGGATCCGCGGGGCGCCGTCAGAGCCAGCAGCAACCGCCGCCAGAGCCTACAACAGCGGCCGCCACCACCCAGCAGCAGCAGCCGCCGCCAGGCCTGCAGCAGCTGCTGCCACCGCGCCTGCAGCAGCAGCTGCCGCCGCTCTGCAGCAGCAGCCGCCGCTCTACCAGCAGCAGCAGCCGCCGCCACTCTGCAGCAGCAACCGCCGCCGCCCAGCAGCAGCAGCTACCGCCAGAGCCTGCAGCAGCAGCCCCTGGAGCCGCCACTGCAGCAGCAGCCCCAGGAACGGCCACCCCTGCAGCAGCAGCCCCTGGAGCCGCCACTGCAGCAGCAGCCCATGGAGCAGCCGCCCCAGCAGCAGCCGCCCCTGGAGCCGTCACTGCAGCAGCCGCTCCTGCAGCAGTAGCCCCAGGTGTAGCCGCCCCAGCAGCAGCCGCCCCTGGACCCGGTACGCCCTTTGCTGCCCGTGCCTGTGCTGCCCGTGCCTGTGCTGCCCATGCCTGTTGCTGCCTGTGCCTGTGCTGCCTGTGCCTGTGCTGCCCGTGCCTGTGCTGCCCGTGCCTGTGCTGCCCGTGCCTGTGCTGCCCGTGCCTGTTGCTGCCCGTGCCTTTGCTGCCCGTGCCTGTTGCTGCCCGTTCCTGTGCTGCCCGTGCCTGTGCTGCCCTGTGCTGCCTGTGCCTGTTGCTGCCTGTGCCTGTGCTGCCCGTGCCTGTGCTGCCCGTGCCTGTGCTGCCTGTGCCTGTTGCTGCCCGTGCCTGTGCTGCCCGTGCCTGTGCTGCCCGTGCCTGTGCTGCCCGTGCCTGTTGCTGCCCGTGCCTGTGCTGCCCGTGCCTGTGCTGCCCGTGCCTGTTGCTGCCCGTGCCTGTGCTGCCCGTGCCTGTGCTGCCCGTGCCTGTGCTGCCCGTGCCTGTGCTGCCCGTGCCTATTGCTGCCCGTGCCGGTGCTGCCCGTGCCTGTGCTGCCCGTGCCTGTGCTGCCCGTGCCTGTGCTGCCCGTGCCTGTGCTGCCTGTGCCTGTGCTGCCTGTGCCTGTGCTGCCCGTGCCTGTGCTGCCCGTGCCTGTGCTGCCCGTGCCTGTGCTGCCCGTGCCTGTTGCTGCCCGTGCCTGTGCTGCCCGTGCCTGTTGCTGCCCGTGCCTGTGCTGCCTGTGCCTGTTGCTGCCTGTGCCTGTGCTGCCCGTGCCTGTGCTGCCCGTGCCTGTGCTGCCCGTGCCTGTGCTGCCCGTGCCTGTGCTGCCCGTGCCTGTTGCTGCCCGTGCCTGTGCTGCCCGTGCCTGTGCTGCCCGTGCCTGTGCTGCCCGTGCCTGTGCTGCCCGTGCCTGTTGCTGCCCGTGCCTGTGCTGCCCGTGCCTGTGCTGCCCGTGCCTGTGCTGCCCGTGCCTGTGCTGCCCGTGCCTGTTGCTGCTCGTGCCTGTTGCTGCCCGTGCCTGTGCTGCCCGTGCCTGTGCTGCCCGTGCCTGTTGCTGCCCGTGCCTGTGCTGCCCGTGCCTGTGCTGCCCGTGCCTGTGCTGCCCGTGCCTGTGCTGCCTGTGCCTGTTGCTGCCCGTGCCTGTGCTGCCCGTGCCTGTGCTGCCCGTGCCTGTGGTGCCCGTGCCTGTGCTGCCTGTGCTGCCCGTGCCTGTGCTGCCCGTGCCTGTGCTGCCCGTGCCTGTTGCTGCCCGTGCCTCGTGCTCGCGCCCTCGTGCGCTCTGCTACTGTCTGCGCCCTCGTGCGCACTGTTCCCCCCCCCCCCCCCCCCCCCCCCCCCCCCGCGTTTGCGGGTGTGGGGGTGCTCCGTTTGTGTCGCCCCTTCCTTCTCCTCCTCCGTCATCTCCCACTGCTGCAGCTGTCGCTGAGGGGGGTGGTTGTGTGGGAGACTGGGGTTTAGGGTTTAAGGGGGGTGCGTGGGAGTGGAGCTAGGGGTGTAGCAGCGGGTGTGTGTCAGGGGGGTGGAACTGTTTGTGGGAGGTTGAGCGGAGGCTGCCGTCTTGTAGTCCGCAGCACCTGTAGTCCGGGGCGCTGTCCTGGTAGCCCAGTGAGCCTGCTGCGCCTGTCGCCCGTGGGTCCGTTGCTCCTGCCGCTCTTCGTAGCCGCCGAGCCAGTTACTCCAGTAGTCCGGGGCGCTGTCCCGGTAGCCACTGTGCCAGCCGCTCCTGTTGCCCGTGTGTCTGCAGCTTCAGCAGTCGCCTCCCATCTCCTCTTCTCTCACTCTCCCTCCTCCTCCTCACTTGCCCATTGTGACCACCACTAGCTTTGCTGATAATTGTGCACTTTAACTATTGCTTCTTTAACTTGTGCTCAGAATGTGTGGTGACATTGTGATCCACCCTGAGCTTGTACTACTTTGCCTGCTCTGCTGATTACACCCCACTTTGGCTATGGGGGTGTGTCAGAATATATTTGCTGTCTAGCCTGCAGTGGGGTACTCTGTAATGAGTACAACCCAATTTGGGGCTTTGTACTTGTATCCCAACTCTTGCTAGTGAAATCACTTCCCTTCCAATTTCTCGATACTCTCCCCTAGGAGAAACCCCACTCGAACTCACCTTGCCTACCTCCTAGTGTGGGCCTAGGCTACTAAGCCTAGGCCCCACCTTCTACTATTTTCACAGGGCCGCCCGCTCTCCCTCGTGTGCTGCGGCGGGAACGGGCCGCCCGGGGCCTCTAGGTGGTGGGCACGGGTCGGAGAGGTCGGCACGAGGCCGGTTGGGGCCCTAGAGGGGCGAGCGCGGGGCCTATCGGGGCCTGAGCGGGGCTAGCGCGGGGCCAAACAGGGCCTTGACGGGGCTAGCAAGGGGCCGACGGGGCCTGAACGGGGCTAGCGCGGGGCCGACGGGGCCTGAAACGGGGCCGACGGGGCTAGCGCGGGCCCGATCGGGGCCTGAATGGGGCTAGCGCGGGGCCGACGGGGCCTGAAACGGGGCTAGCGCGGGCCGACGGGGCCTGAGAGGGGCTAGCGCGGGGCCGACGGGGCCTGAAACGGGGCCAACGGGGCCTGAATCGGGGCTAGCGCGGGCCGATGGGGCCTGAGAGGGGCTAGCGCGGGGCCAACGGGGCCTGAAACGGGGCCGACGGGGCCTGAACGGGGCTAGCGCGGGGCCTGAACGGGGCCTTAAAGGGGCCGACGGGGCCTGAACGGGGCCGCTAGGGAGAGCGGGCGTGGGGCCGACGGGGCCTGAACGGGGCTAGCGCGGGGCCGTCAAGAGGGGCCTCTAGGGGCGTGACACGCCGAGGCGCCCTAGGGCACAGGTAGGTAGGTAGGTAGGTAGTTACGTAGTGGTGGGCCCTTAGCAAATTTCGGTCCAAGGAAGGACCTGCTCTATACCATGTTGGAATCACTGAACAGGAATGAATGAACTAGCAGTGAAATGAGTACAAGTACCTAACCCTAGAATTGTGTACCCCCTATAGGCTAACCCACTGTAGCCTAAACTAACACAACATATATAATGTTTGACAAGATCTACGCCGGGGCCATGGCTGCCCAGGAGCTTCGCTGGCTCACCTACCTGCTGACTGACCTCGGAGAGCCACCTCGTTCTCCTCTAGTGCTGTACGTAGACAACAAGGCCATGCTGGCCTTGTGTCGGGAGCAGCGCCTGGAGCACAGAACGAAGCACATTGCTCTCCGCTACTTTCTTGCTCGTGAGTTGCAGCAGCGTGGTCAGTTGCGACTTACGTACGTGGCCTCTGAGGCCAGCACTGCTGATGTTTTCACCAAGGCACTTCCGCCTTGTGATCATCAGCGCTTTTGCACTCAGCTGGGTCTTGTGCCTGTCTTGCATCACTTGCTCACCCCTTGACCTTGCTTGTACTCTTATACCTGCTCTTGCTTGTTTAGCCTTATTTATATGTGTACTCCTGTATGTGAACTGGACTTGTGGCCTTGACCTTTTGCTCGGACTGTGTGGTGACGTTGTGATCCACCTTGAGCTTTGTCTGCTTTGCTTGACTGGTCTTGTGACCCCTTGTTCTCCCCCACTTTGCCTATGGGGGTGTGTCAAATTATAATATTGTGTAGGCTATAGTGGGGTAGCCTATATGGGGTACACATTTCTAGGGTTGCATATTTGTATCACTTCCATTCCTTAGTCATTCATTCTCGTTCACATCTTCTCACGACGCACTCACACGCCCCACCGCCCAACTCTACGCCATCCTACTCGCCCAAACCAACCCACTGCTAATAGGCCTTTTCACCCCTAGATACAGTACCGACCCATTTTTTACGACCGGAGATTCACAGCATCTGGCAGAAGCTAAAGGAGTCTATTACGTAAAAACAGGCACCAACCACATCTGGGTACCCGCGTACTCACTACTGAGGGAAATATTACTGCAGGAGGCACATGACGGATTTACCTTAGGACATTTGGGGGTAGAAAAAATGCGTCAGCAACTGCAGCGGTATTACTATTGGTCAGAGCTGTTGAGCGAGGTACACAACCACGTGGGCTCGTGTCCTACGTGCCAGGTGATGAAGAGCTCGCGGAAAAGAAAGGTGGGTCAATTGCAGCCGATTCCACTGCTTGAGCGCGCCTGGCAGCAGGTTACCATGCATTTCGTCACGGGGTTACCTTCGAACCTTGGGGGTAACGACGTAGTTGTGGTCGTCGTTAACAGGTTGACGAAGATGGCACACTTCGCTGCGTGCAAGAAATCGATCTCAACCGAAGAAACCACTCGCCTGTTCATCGCAGCCGTCGTTCGACTGCACGGGATACCGGCCGCGATAATCAGCGACCGCGACACGAAGTTCACCAGCAACTTCTGGAAGAACCTTTGGGAGCAGTTCGGGACCAGGCTACAGTTCAGTTCGTCGTACCACCCCAAGACCGACGGTCAAACGGAGTGAACGAATCGGACAATGGAGCAGTTGATTCGTGCCACGTGGGACGACCCGACAACTTGGGAGCAGCAGCTGCCGCTAATCGAGTTCGCGTAGAACAACGCCACGTCAGCGACAACGTAGCAGTCTCCCTTCTATCTGAACTACGGGCAAAACCCTATAATACCCATGACGCCGAGTCCGGACAACCCAACGCCACGTGCACGACAATTTCCCGAGATTCTACAAGCTGCCCACATTAGAGCCGCCGAAGCAATAAAAAAAACAAATATCATCACGTCAGCAACGACGCAGCAGTCCCCGTTGTACCTGAACTACGGGCAAAACCCTATAGTGCCCATGACGCCGAGTCCGGACAACCCAACGCCACGTGCACAACAATTTCCCAAGATTCTGCAAGCTTCCCGCACCAGAGCCGCCGAAGCAATTTAAAAAACAAATATCATCGCTAAGCGTAACGCTGACCGCCACCGTCGCCCAGTCACGTACCATTCGGGAGATTACGTGCTACTCGACACACATAACTTAAGACCGCCCGTCATACCAAAATTACGACCGCACTACTGTGGACCCTTCCAAATCAGACACATGATCACCCCAGTTACCGCCCATTTACTGTTGTCGATAGAGTGGTATATCAACCCATCATTCCACGTCAGCCTGCTTCGCCCATATATCCCAACCACGAGCCAACTACCTTGTCACCGCCCGCTATCCATGACCCACCCTGCATCGGAGCCGATAATCGAGCCCGAAAAAAATCCTGAGCCATCGGATTCGACACTCTACGGGAATCAAGAGGATTGAATTCCTCGTTCGCTGGAAGGACCGCACGCCAACTGAGGATAGCTGGGTGCTTCTGGCCAACATCGAAAACCACCCTGCCCTGCAATTGTACCGGAGGAGCCGGGGTTTCCGCGATATACACGCACTAGCGTAACGGAGGGGGCTTCTTGAGGGGGGATAGTGTAAGGAATTTTCTCGACATTCCTTAGCGCATCCTGCAACATCGTGTACAGCAGCAGCCGTTGTTCGCCCGTTACTCCAAACGGGGCTTCGCCGACTTCGCGCGCACTGTTTAACCAAACCATGCACCGCTTGTCAAAATATGTTTACATATTTTATATAATCGTTTGCAGTTTTAGTGTAGATATTGCATCATGTTTGGTGGTGCACCTCCTTGTGTTGCTGTTTACCTATTTGTACTTGCTATTCTCATTAGTGAAGCTCTCTTTTGGCTTGCTATTTCCTCTCGTCACCCTCACCTAGTTCAAACCCTAAGCTACTATGCTCCTAATATTAACATGGTATCAGAGCTAGGTCGTCCTGAGACCTGAATTTTTCCCCCATGGGCCCACCACGTATCCCCCCACTCATGGCGCTCATCACGCCCTCCGTCGCAACCGTAGTTACGACGGCTGCAACGGTCGCGACCGTCGAAACGGTCTCGTCTGTCCCGTCCGTCTTGTCCTTAGCGCCCTCCCCGTCACGCCCGTTGCGCCCTGCTCATCGCGCGCGTCGCCATCCCTGCCCCGTTCTGTCACGATCACAGCAGCAGCCGCGCGCAGCTGCGTACGGGCGCGCATTGCTGCGCGCAGCCGCGTATGACCGTGCGCACCCGCGCACGTCCGTGTGCGCCAGCACCAGCGCCCGTCGCCAGCACCTACGTGAGCAGGAGCTAATGCCGCCCCCCCCTTCCCTTCCACAGCTTCCGCCGTGGGGGGAGGGAGATGTGGGGGTGGCGGGTGTGAGTTGCCTGTAGCCCGTCCTTCCCCTCTCTTCAGTGGGGTCCGCCGTGAGGGGGGGGGGGAGGTTGCGCCGGGAGGGTGAAGGGAAACGGGGGGAGTGTGACAGGGTGGCGAGAGAGATTCTGCAAAGCCAGCAGCCGCCCCTCCTCTCTCTCTCAGTGCCGCTCGTGCTGCTGTGGGGGGGAGGGTAAGAGAGGGTGGCGGGAAAACAGACAAGCATCTGAGTTGCCACCCGCTGCTACCGTGGCACCTCCTGCTGCCGCCCCTGCCCCACCTGTCCTTGTTTCTCCTGTCTACTGCTGGGGCCTGCAGGTGCTGCCGTCGAGCCGCTGCTGTCCTGGTGCACGTTGCAGCCACAGAGCCTGCTCCTCAGGCGACCTGCAGCCCCTACACCTGCTACTGCTTCTGCCTTGGCTCAGGGCGTGCTACTGCTGTATTTGCCACTCCTTCACCGGCCACTACTGCTCTTGCTTGCTTCTGCTTCTTCTGCTGCACTCCTGGTGCACCCCGTTAGGGGGCGTTTTACACTTACTCCTGCAATCAATTATGGGGGCGTGTCAAAATATGTTTACATATTTTATATAATCGTTTGCAGTTGTGGTGTAGATATTGCATCATGTTTGGTGGTGCACCTCCTTGTGTTGCTGTTTACCTATTTGTACTTGCTATTCTCATTAGTGAAGCTCTCTTTTGGCTTGCTATTTCCTCTCGTCACCCTCACCTAGTTCAAACCCTAAGCTACTATGCTCCTAATCTTAACACCGCTGGCTCGGCCGTATCGGCCTACACTTCGGAACTAGCTCGAACCTCGATGCCTGCCTAGCACTAGCTAGCTCGCAAGCACAGCGTTACCGTTTGCATGTTTCGCGTATAAATGTTCGCTCATGCCTTCGCTCACATTTTGTACTTTTGGTGCAAACCTTGCAACCTAGATTCATTGCACCCGTAAGGGCGGGTTCAACTTTGCCCACTCCCAATGTTTTCGTTATTTTTACGTCAACACACTTGTCAAATTTGACTGTATCCCAGGGCGTAGTACTAAGGTTTCCTGTCCAGTTTGGAGTATACAGTGCGGACTTTTGACGAGGTACAGAATCGTTGCGAGGCACAGCACCTGGAAAGGGAGTTACCAAATATTGTGAGGGCTTCCGCATCTAAGGCGAAAGTGATGATAATATCATGGCGAAAGGGTGTTGGCGAAAAGGGAGCGTTACTGTTTGACGACTTTGACGGGAAGTGATTAAGGAGACGAACCCTCGGATGTGTTCCACACGTCCCGGGGCACGATTCCGAAATGAGCTCATTTATGTACAGTCTCGCGTCAAACTGTTTTCGTACGTAAAAAGTTCTGTTACACGCTTAATTCTGGAAACTGAGCAGAAAATTTTCCGTACATGTACAAAGTTTGACCCGCCCGTAACAGTTGGGTATTCAAGCGATTTGTTCGACTCGCCTCCAGATCATCCAAATAGATCAGGCAGAGAGAGAAGACTGCAGTCCGTCTAGTCTCCTTATGGCAGTTTGCCAATCCACCAATCGAGTCTCCATTCCGACTGCTCTGTCACGGTCGCGTACCATGTTGCGCATCTTATCTCAAAAGTTTTAATATCCAAGTTATTTTTCACCTGCACTGTGCGCGCTAGTTTCGTGCAAGGGACGCGACGCGCAGTCGCAATGGTAGGCCCGCAAACCACGACTGCAGAGAGGACCGGCCGATCGAATTTCAATCCGATGGCTGAGAAAACGCACGGAGGTCCGGCTGGTCGATCCCTGACCGTCGATGCGATCCAGCGCGACCGCTTGATGAAGATCGCAGCCGTAAACTGGCTAAAATCCGAGAGCTCGCTTCCGCACTCACGCGTAGTCGCGACTGACAAATATGGAGACGGCATTCCCAGGAAAGCACCGAAGCCTGCTACCGCAATCCGGTTCAATCCCGATCTGGTTCGGAGAATCTATAGGGAGGATCTGAAAGTGACACGTGGCAGGAAACCGGTGCCATTGCAGCACGTGATGGTTCTGGAAGTGAGCCAGTATCTGGAAAAATACCTATGGCCGAATTTCGACCCAGATACCGCGTCCGTGGAGCACGTGATGTCTATTATTCTCATGGTCAATGAAAAGGTGCGGAAATTTTGTTCCATGATTTGTTTGTTTCGTCAGTTATCTTATCCATCTGTTATTATTGTTGACTTCTCCAGTTGATGCAGTTCCTGTTTAATTGCAGAGTACAACGACAAATTTGATGATTGCCTCATGCGTTGGTGGTGATATTGGTCAAGTCGTTGCTGCTATCGCTTGTGCATGTCAAATCTTGGCCCTAATTCCTGCCGATGAACCTCAACGTCCCTGACCTAAAATCTGATTTTGATTTGAAGTCCTTATTCTTAGCCTTGGTTTCCTGTTAACATACATCCACGGTCCACGCACCCGTCCCATTCCAAATTCTTGTGTGGGTTTTGTCCCTTCTTCCATTTGTGCCTTAATTCTACATTCTTGTTCCCTGTTAGTTCCGCGAGAATGTCTCCGCATGGGACTGCTTCCAGTCTCGCACTGACATCTTCCCTGCATTCTTCAATCGAGTCCTTGCTCTCAAGGTAAATCCCAGCAATGCTGCCATCATTTCCCCTCCTAAAGCCCACGTTGTTCAGTATTTTCTGATCGTTATGTGTCCTTCTGCATGTATTGTTCTCCCCCCACGCGCTTTCTCGTGTGGAATGGAACCTCTGCTTACCGCACATGATCATTCATCATCGTATCTCCGTCGGTCGGTACCCGTTTTCTTCTTCCCAGGACCCCAAGCGGAAGGTGGGGAGCAAGCGAGCTCGGCAGGAGGAGCAGGCGGAGGAGCAGGAGCAGAAGCAGCAGGAAGAGAAGCAGCAGGGAGAGCAGGAGCAGGAGGAGCAGGCGGAGGAGCAGCAGATGTCTGTTGAGGGAGATCAAGTTCAGGCGGAGGATGGAGCAAACAAAGAAGCTGCTGCGGAGGGCAACGGAGCAGAGGGAGAGGGAGGAGAACCGAAGGAGAGTTCAGGCGCAGCAGAAGGGGAGGGAGGCGGAGGGGAAGGAGGGGGAGGGGGTGCTGAAGACAAGAAGGAGGTGAAGGAACAGGGAAAGGGCGGATCGGCTGTTGGCGGAGGAGAGCAGTACGAGCTGAGCATATATGAGCGCGTGAATTACATCGTCTTCATCATCCACTGCTTCCAGGTGAGGAGCTATTTAGCTTGTTGATAGGAAGTTAGGGAAGGTTAGGGGAGGCGAGGAGGAGTACGAGCCGAGCATATATGATATGAGCGCGTGAATTACATCGTCTTCATCATCCACTGCTTCCAGGTGAGGCTCTCCTGCCTTTGTGAAGGTGGCCTCTAGCTTGCTGCGGTTGGGGGCGTTGTCAAACACATCCCCTCCTGCACTGCATCGCTGTCGTCATCCACTTCTTCCCCCACCCCTCCGCGCTCCCCTTCCCCCTCTTCCCCCCTACCCCCCCAGTCGCTGGAGAATCCATTGGTGCGGGCGTGTGTGCTGCCGCTGGTGTCGCTGCCCCTGTGGCATGCGCTCTCACCGGCCCGCAGGGAGCGCGAGCTGCTTTTTTCCACGGTTCTTAATACCCTTCTCTATCCTCATCTCCCTCCCCCCATGCCTCTTCTCTCCCCCCCACGCCTTTCCTCTCCACCCCCGCCCCCCATTCCCCCAGTCGCTGGAGAACCCACTGGTGCGGGCGTGTGTGCTGCCGCTGGTCTCTCTCCCCCTGTGGCATGCGCTCTCACCAGCCCGCAGGGAGCGCGAGCTGCACCCCCACGCGCACCTGCTCGCCCTCTGGTCGCGCCTGCTCAAACGGGACGCCAAGAACCGCCACGCCAGGCTGGCTGCTGTGGCGGAGGGTGGGGAGAAGCGGGCCGAGGCGGAGGCGGCTGAGCGGAAGGAGAGGCGCGGGGTTCGATTCCTGCCTGGGTTGATTCTGGAGTTCTTTTCTGTGAGTGATAGGCTCTTTCGGAGCGGTTGCAGGCCAACTCTGTGCTAGGATATGCTATCTGCGTGCATCCCTCTTTGTGGTACGACTCGAAGGAAATGGAGTTGTATCTAAATGTTTGCTGGTGGCATGTTTCATTTGACGACATGCCATCTCCATCTCTACGAGGGCCCGGACTACGAGGACGACCAGAGCGAGTCTGCTGGGGTGCTGCTGGAGAGAGGGTGTTTAGGGGACCTAATTCTCTTTGTCTTTCCGTCTCTATCTTCTGTGTGTGCTGCTGTGCTGCTGTGTGCCCCCCTGTGTGCCTCAACGCCTGCCAGGTGTTGGACGAGGTGGTGGAGAAGGGCCCGGACTACGAAGACGACCAGAGCGAGTCCGCAGGGGTGCTGCTAGAGAGGGCAGTGGACCACCCGCGGCTTCTCTTTTGCGAGCGCTTCCTGGAGCTGCTCATAGACCTGCTCAGCCAGCTGCCCACACGCAGGTATGTACGGGTTTGTGCATGCATGCATGTACCTATCGGTGCATGTGTGTTTGCATGTGTGACTGCTTTGTAAACCCCCCTTCAACCACCCGCGGCTGCTCTTCTGCGAGCGATTCCTGGAGCTGCTCATAGACCTGCTCAGCCAGCTGCCCACACGCAGGTACGAATGCGTGTGCGTGTATCTATCAGTGCATCCTCCCTAACCATTCTTCCGTTTCACTCTTGACCTCACTGTCACGTTCCCGTTGCCCTTCAATGATCAGGTTCTTTCGTCCTGTAGTGGATGACATGGCCGTCGCCGCCCGGTGCCGCCTGAGCCGGCTGTACCGGCACCAGCGTGGCCGTCTTTTTGTGCAGCTGGTGGATCTGCTGCGATTCTACGCTAGATTCCAAATGGACGACCACGCCGGGCGGCAACTGGATGAGGAGGAGGTGGACAGGGAGCACTGCGCTCGTGTGTCGGCCCTTCAGCTGTTCCTCTTTAACAAAGTGCCAGAGGTGAGGGCCACATGTAACATTTACTTACACAGCTGCTCAGATGCAACGGAGTGCTGGAGATGAGGGTTGCATGAGACACATAATGGCACATCAGGACGAGGAGGAGGTGGATAGGGAGCACTACGCTTGGGTGTCGGCCCTTCAGTTGTTCCTCTTCAACAGAGTGCCAGAGGTGGGTGTTGTGAGATTGTTGGCGATGGGCGGTATTATCTGCACCTACCTACACAACTGGATGGCTGCGCTTGTGTGTCAGCCTTTCAACTCAACTGTTCCTCTGTAACAAAGTGCAAGAGGTGAGGGTTAATTGAAAGACCTGGTTACACCGACTGGATGAGGAGGAGGTGGGACAGGGAGCACTGCGCTCGAGTGTCGGCCCTTCAGTTGTTCCTCTTCAACAAATTGCCAGAGGTGAGAACTATTAGATTGTCAGCGGTGAGTGAGTGGTGTCGGGTGCACATAGTTATGCTATCCAAGTGGACGAGGAGGAAGTGGATAGGGAGCACTGCGCTCGTGTGCCAGCCCTTCTACTGTTCCTCTGTAACAAAGTGCCAGAGGTGGGTGGTGGTAGCGTGGTCATAGCATCCGTGCTGTTAATTCCTGGTTGTTTTGGCTCCTTGCCTTATAAGTCGACTCAAAAGTCACGTGGTCATAGCATCCGTGCTGTTCATTCCTGGTTGTTTTGGCTCCTTGCCTTATAAGTCGACTCAAAAGTCACGTGGTCATAGCATCCGTGCTGTTCATTCCTGGTTGTTTTGGCTCCTTGCCTTATAAGTCGACTCAAAAGTCACGTGGTCATAGCATCCGTGCTGTTTATTCCTGTTTGTTTTGGCTCCTTGCCTTATAAGTCGACTCAAAAGTCACGTGGTCATAGCATCCGTGCTGTTAATTCCTGGCTGTTTTGGTTCCTTGCCTTATAAGTCGACTCAAAAGTCACGTGGTCATAGCATCCGTGCTGTTCATTCCTGGTTGTTTTGGCTCCTTGCCTTATAAGTCGACTCAAAAGTCACGTGGTCATAGCATCCGTGCTGTTTATTCCTGTTTGTTTTGGCTCCTTGCCTTATAAGTCGACTCAAAAGTCACGTGGTCATAGCATCCGTGCTGTTAATTCCTGGCTGTTTTGGTTCCTTGCCTTATAAGTCGACTCAAAAGTCACGTGGTCATAGCATCCGTGCTGTTCATTCCTGGTTGTTTTGGCTCCTTGCCTTATAAGTCGACTCAAAAGTCACGTGGTCATAGCATCCGTGCTGTTCATTCCTGGTTGTTTTGGCTCCTTGCCTTATAATTCGACTCAAAAGTCACGTGGTCATAGCATCCGTGCTGTTCATTCCTGTTTGTTTTGGCTCCTTGCCTTATAAGTCGACTCAAAAGTCACGTGGTCATAGCATCCGTGCTGTTCATTCCTCCTGGTTATGTTTTTTGAGAATTCTTAAGAAACAAAGTGCCAGAGGTGGGTGGTGGTAGCGTATCTATAGCATCCCTGCTGTTCATTCCTGGTTGTTTTGGCTCCTCGCCTTTCATCGCATCTCCCCCGCCCCTCCTCACACTCCCCCCTTAGCTACGTGACGTCGCCCTGACCAACGTGGGAAGTGTGGAGCATGCTGACTGAGTGCGCAAGTGGCTTACTCTGTTTTGAATCCTGTTCCCGTCTCCCCTTCCCCCTCCGCCCCCTGTGCCCCCCCCCCCCACGTCTCCTCCCTCAGCTACGTGACGTCGCCCTGACCAACGTGGGAAGTGTGGAGCATGCTGACGACGTGCGCAAGTGGCTTACTCTGTTTTGAATCCTGTTCCCGTCTCCCCTTCCCCCTCCGCCCCCTGTGCCCCCCCCCCCCCCCACATCTCCTCCCTCAGCTACGTGACGTCGCCCTGACCAACGTGGGAAGTGTGGAGCATGCTGACGGAGTGCGCAAGTGGATGGGGCGACTCACAGACGAGCAGCTGGCGGAGCTGGTGCTCAACAAGGTAACGAGCGGTTAACATTAGGGTGGTGACCCTAAACCCATGGGTGGAGTGCGGTGCCGATGGTGAAGTAGGGAGTTGCTGCAAAAAGAGTAGGCTTTTGGCTAGCTCAGTAGACACTCGTTTGCAAGTGGATGGGGCGACTCACAGACGAGCAGCTGGCGGAGCTGGTGCTTAACAAGGTAAGGACAAACATAGCCGACCCAGATATGGCATATTGAGTTTAGATTTCTGTATCTCCAACTGTTTTAGGACAAGCGTGCCATATTGAGTAATGATGTCTGGGTAAACAGTGCCCTCGCGCGCGTGCATGCGCGTGTGCGTTTTGTTTCGCACAAGCATGCGTGCGTGTGTGCTCTTTGTTTTCTGTTTGCGCTTGTTTGTTTTTCTATGTTGGGCTGCTATATCATATCATCCCAAACATTCTCCCTTCGTGCTCCAGTACCCTTGATGTATGTTCTGAGAAATTTAAATTCTATTTCCCTGTTGCCCGTTCTACCACCGTGCAGCTGAAGCTGCTGTCTCGAGCAGGCCTGCCATACTGGCCCAATACCAACCTCCCCCCCCCCCCTTCCACCCTTTCCCCTCCCCGCCCTTCTCCCCCTTTCTACCACCGTGCAGCTGAAGCTGCTGTCTCAAGCGGGCCTGCCGTACCGGCCGCCACGCCACCTCCTCTCCTCCACTCGCCGCCCCAAAGCTCCCACACGAATGGTGGTGGAAGAGGGTTCAGAGGAGCAGCAGCAGGAGCAGCAGGAGGAGGAGGAGGAGGCAGAGCAGCAGTACTGGGAGCAGCAGCGGGCGGTGCTCTTCCACCGTCTCCGCCCGTTCCTAGAGGAAGTAGTCGTCTCCTTCTTCGAGAAGAAGCGCTCCCAGCGAGCAGCACTCAACGCACTGCCTCTCTACCCCAACGAGGACGTCATGTGGGACGAGAGCCTCATCCCCAGCGTGAACTACACCGGAGAAGGCTGCTTGGCACTGCCGAAACTTAATTTGCAGTTCCTCACGTTGCACGATTACCTGCTGCGGAATTTCAACCTGTTTCGGCTCGAGTCGACGTACGAGATTCGGGAGGAGGTGCACGATGTGCTAAAGCGGATGGGGGCGAAGGGGAGCATGTACAGCAGCGTGGACCGGGATACGGAGTTCACCGGGTGGGCCCGAATGGCCATTCAGATCTCGTCGTTCCGGATTGTAGAAGTTAAGGCGCCGCTGCTAGGCGAGGTGCAGCCGGCGGCGGTTCTAGCGGAAGTGGAGTACTCTATAGGGGGGTATAAGGCGGCGATGCGGAGCGAGTGGGAGGAGATTAAAGAGCATGACGTGCTGTTCCTGCTTGGGATACACCCGGATGAGATTGCGTTGCAAGCTGCGGCCGATGCTGCTGCGGCACAGGCGGTGGCGCAGGCGAAGCGAGAGGCGGGAGAGGATGGGGCGGAGGAGGAGGAAGCAGCGGCGGATGCTGCTGCGGTGGTCTCGTCGCTGTCCGTCCCGCAGAGATACGGGTTAAGATATGTGCGGGGGTGCGAGGTGATCGAGTTGCGCGATGAGGACAACAAGCTGATGAATGACTTCTCTGGAAGGGTGAAGCGGGAGGAGTGGAAACCACCCAAAGGGAACAAGCGCACAGCTCTCGTCGCCCTCGATCCCGCCCAGTTCCAGCTGGATTTAGAGGCCAATGGAGGGACGCTGAGAGGAGCGCAGGAGGAGGTTTACTCGGCTTTAAACGTGGTGATGCGGAGGAAGCCAAAGGAGAATAACTTCAAGCCGATTCTGGAGTCGATCCGGGATCTGATGAACGAGGAGGCGTCGGTGCCAGGCTGGCTGCATGACTTGTTTTTGGGGTACGATGATCCGGCAGCCGCCAGCTGGCGGCGCATGCCTGCTGAGCTGGCGCCGTGGCGCGTGGAGGTGGTGGATTTCAGAGACACGTTTGTGGATGCGGAGCATTTGAAGGAGTGCTTCCCGGGCTTTAAGGTGCGGTTTGTGGATGCGGATGGGTTTGAGAACCCTGACCCTCAGCCTCCGTTCCGCGTGACTATACCCATGCCGAAGGCGCAGGAGGAGGGGCGTGGGGTGGCAATGGGGGGGAAGAAGAAGGGGCAGGAGAAAGAGGGGAAGGGGAAGGGGAAGGGGAAGAAGGGGGCGAAGGGGAAGAAGAAGGGGAAGGGGAAGGGAGGGGAGGAGGAGAAGGGTGGGGAGAAGGAGAAGCAGGAGGGGGAGCAGATGGAGGTGGATGGGGAAAAGGTCAAGGAAGGAGATGGTGGAGACGAGGCACCACAGCAGGGAGAGCAGGGAGACAAGGGGGAGCAGGGAGGGCAGGAGGAGGGTGAGGGGGTGGTGATTGCGGAGTCGGTGCCTCTGCCTGACCCCGGGCCGTACCCCCCTGGGAAGCAGAGGAAGAACCACGTGCGCTTCACACCCACCCAGGTACCGAACTCTCATCCTTTCTCTGCCTTCGCTCCCTTGCTCTATCTCACCTCACCTCGTCTCACCGCCTCTATCTCCTCTTTCCGCCGTCTCCTACCTCTTTGCAGCGCCTAGCACCTCTCCCCACCGCCTCTTTATGCCCTGTCTCTCACCTCTTCTGACCGCCTCTCACTCCTCCCCAGCACATCTCTCGCCACCCCTTGTAACCTCTCCTCACTGTGGCTTACCTCTCCGCGTGTCACCTCTCCTCACCGCGTGTCACCTTTCCCCACTGTGTCTCACCTCTCCCTACCGACTCCCACCTCTCCCCACCGCTTCCCACCAGGTGGACGCCATCATCAGCGGGGTGCAGCCGGGGTTGACCATGATAGTGGGGCCGCCTGGAACCGGCAAGACTGACACGGCTGTGCAGATCCTGCAGGTCAGTGAGTTGTCCGAGATGTAATGCGGTGCAGTGCAATACAATGCAGCACCACAATTGTGAAGCTCTGACGGATCTTCTTGTCCTGTACTACAACTTCCCTGATTAATGCGGGGGGGAAGCCCTGGAATCTCCCTCCCCCTGCTCCTTCGTCCTGTAGTTGCGAAGCTCTCACGGATCTTCTCGTCCTGTACTACAACTGACTCCTTTCCCCTGCTCCCCCCCCCCCCACCACCCCCTCCCCACCCCCCCCCCCCCCCACCCTCTCCCTGCCCGACCAGGTGCTGTACCACAACTGCCCTGAACAGCGCACGCTTGTCATCACTCACTCCAACCAGGCCCTCAACGACCTCTTTGAGAAGATCATGCAGGTGGGTGCAGTGCAGTTCAGTGCGGCACGGTGCTCTGTGGTGGTGTTATGCGAAATCTGTGAATTCAGGCCTTGGCGACATGATCAAAAGCGTCATGCAGGTGGGTAATGTGTGAGCAGGAGCTGAACTCACCCCCTTCCCATCACCCCCGGCTGCTCTCCCTCTTTCCCCATCTGTATGCAGCGGGATGTGCGGGCGCACTACATGTTGTGCCTGGGCATGGGCGCGGAGCTGAGCTCACCCTCCCTCCTCATCACCCCACTTGTTCCCCATCCCCCTCTTCACCCCCTTCTCATCTCATCTGTATGCAACGGGACCTGCTGGTGCGCTACATGCTGCGCCTGGGCATGGGCGATCAAGAGCTGGACACAAAGCATCTGAATCTCCCTTTCAATATTCCTTCTCCGCCCCAACTCTCCCGTCCATTTCTCCCTCCCCATGTGTATCCCAGCGGGATGTGCCGGCACGTTACATGCTGCGACTGGGCATGGGAGAGCAGGAGCTGGACACGGAGCAGAAGTTCAGCCGCATGGGGCGCGTCAACGACATGCTTGCTAGGAGGCTCGAGCTGCTGGCTGAGGTGGGCCTTAAAGACAGTTTGAAGTAAGGGCATAGTAAGTACAGCAGCGGGGGGGGGCATAGTACAGTTGTGCATGGGCGGGGCGAGCGAGCGGGAGGGAGCGAGTGGGTGCTGGCTGGCTGAACTGAAGCGGCTTGAACTGCAGTCTGTGGTGAGCGCTGCACTAGGGTGCTATCTGTGGTTATTTTGATAGGCTGTCGCTTGGGGCTGCCATGCGAGTGTCGTGACTGGAAATCCACCCTTTACCCCCCTCTCTCACAGGTGGAGCGACTGGCAGTGACACTTGGGCGGCCATCTGACGTGGCGTACACGTGTGAGAGTGCGGCCTACTTCTGGCTGCTGCACGTGCTCGCCAGGTAAGCTAAGAAGCCGGCGGTGATTAAATTTCCGCCGGAATAATGTTTAGCTTGTGGTGATTATTTGTGGCCTTCTCTGTTGTAACATACGCATTCTAAAAGCGTGGCCTTCTTTCGGCTGCTGCATGTGATGGGCAGTCACGTGTGATGGGCGGTCACGTGTGATGATTGGATGCGGTTGGCGAGAAGCCAGTCTTAGCTGCACTGCACGTGCTGTTGCTGCGTAGATTTTAGTTTCGGATGGCTGCTTTTGAGCACACTTTGGAACTGACATTGCAGGGGAGTCGTGATGTTTCTCCTACCATCTTGATAACGTACCTGTGTGCATGTGTGTGTGTTTGTGTGTGTGTGTGTGTGTGCATGTGTGTGTGTGTGTGTGTGTGTGTGTGTGTGTATGTGTGTGTGCATGTGCATGTGTGTGTGTGTGTGCATGTGTATGTGTGTGTGTGCATGTGCATGTGTGTGGGTGTGTGTGTGTGTGTGCATGTATGTGTGTGTGTGTGTGTGCATGTATGTGCGTGTGTGTGTATGTGTGTGTGTGTGTATGTGTGTTTGTGTTTGTGTTTGTGTGTGTGTGTATGTGTGTGTGTGTGTATGTGTGTGTGTATGAGTGTGTCAGGTGGGAGGCATTTGTGGCCAAGTGTGAGTCGGTTCGCGACGCTGCTCCAGCTGAGTCCACGCCTGCTGCTGAACCTGCTCCTGCTACTCCTGCTGCTCCTGATTCTGCACCTGCTGCTGCTGCTGCTGCTGCTGCTGAGGAGGGCGCTAAGGATGTGCCGATGCAAGATGCCAATGATGCTGCACCTGCTGCTGCTCCTTCCAGTGCTGCCGCTGCTGCTGCTGCTGCTGCTGCTGCTGCGGGGAGCAGCGGCGGGGGCAGCAGGGCAGCGAGCATAGTGAAGGACACCTTCCCCTTCACGGAGTTCTTCCAGGAGGCACCGGGCTTTAAGATGACGGGCGCGTCGTACGCACAGGACATGCGCATGGCAGAGAGCTGCTTCGAGTTCCTCAAGGGCATGTTCCAGGTGGGGCTTTAAGAGGTTTGAGATGCGTGACATGAGATGAGACGGCGTTTTGATGTGTTTCAAAAAATGATTCTTGAGGCGCCTAAGAAATGAGCTCCTCCCCTCCCCTCTCCCTTTTGCTCCCATCGTCGTCCTCCCGTACTGTCCATAGATGTGAGCTAGTTACTCCTGAGATCTGCTCTTGAGTTTTGCTCCTATTGCCCTGCTGCTCCTCGTCTCCCCCACCACTTTCTCCCAAGCAGGAGCTGGAAGAGTGCCGGGCATTCGAGCTGTTTAAGACCACAGCGGACCGCTCCAACTACCTGATGGCCCGCCAAGCCAAGGTGGTGGCCATGACGTGCACGCACGCGGCGCTCAAGCGACGGGACTTCCTGAACCTCGGGTTCCACTTTGACAACCTGCTCATGGAGGAGTCAGCTCAGATCCTCGAGATCGAAACCTTCATCCCCATGCTGCTGCAGCGCCCCGACGGCCCCTCCTGCACCGTCGCTGGCACTGGCACTGGCACTGCTGCTGCGTCTGCTGCTGGTGCTGCGGCTGCTGGTGGTTCGTCTGGTGCTGGTGGCGGCAACGGTGCCTTGTCCTACTCTCGCCTCAAGCGCTGCATCTTGATCGGAGACCACAACCAGCTGCCCCCCGTCGTAAAAAACATGGCCTTTCAGAAATACTCGCGCATGGACCAGAGCCTTTTCACCCGCTTCGTCCGCCTGGGCGTCCCTTACATAGAACTCAACGCCCAGGGCCGCGCCCGGCCCTCCATTGCCCAGCTTTACAACTGGCGATACCGCGACCTGGGGGATTTACCCGTGGTGAAGACCGGGGAGGAGTATGTGCGCGCTAACGGGGGGTTTGCGTGGGAGTATCAGCTGGTGGATGTGGGGGATTGGATGGGGAGAGGGGAGAGTGAGCCGAACCCGTGGTTCTACCAGAATTTGGGCGAGGCGGAGTATGTGGTGAGCGTGTTTCAGTACATGCGGCTGTTGGGGTATCCCGCTGAGAAGATATCAATTCTGACGACATACAACGGGCAGAAGCATTTGATTCGAGATGTCATTGAGCGGCGATGTGCCGGGAACCCACGTTTCGGCCGTCCCAGCAAGGTGAGCGTGTGGTAGGTAGCATTGCGCTCTGCTCCTTGAGATGGTAAGGCGTTTTTCGGGTCAGGAACAGGGTTTGGTTGGTAGGGCGATGCGGAGTATGTGGTGAGTGTGTTTCAGTACATGTGGCTGCTGGGGGGTATCCTGCTGAGAAGATATCCATTCTGACCACGTACAATGGACAGAAGCATCTGATCAGGGATGTGATCGAGAGGAGATGTGCGGGGAACCCCCGCTTCGGCCGCCCCAGCAAGGTGAGTGTGTGGTATTGCTGTCCTAATCTGCTGGTAACATTTTTGTTTGCTCCCTGCTCTCCCTCTCACATACCCATCCATTTTCTCACCCACTCTTACCTCTCCATCACGTTCCACCACTTTCTGCCACTCTTCACCGCTCACCACACCAGGTGACCACGGTCGATCGCTTCCAGGGCCAGCAGAACGACTACATTCTGCTCTCCCTCGTGCGCACGCGCACCGTGGGCCACCTGCGTGACGTGCGGCGCCTTGTGGTGGCCATGTCCCGCGCCCGCCTCGGCCTCTACTGCTTCTGCCGCCGCGCGCTCTTCGAGCAGTGCTACGAGCTCCAGCCCACCTTCCAGCTGCTGCTGCAGCGCCCGGATAGGTTGGGTTTGGTGTTGGAGGAAGGGAGTGCGAGGACGGGGAGGGCGGCAGGGGAGGGGAGTGAGGGGGCGTATTTGGTGCCGGGGATTGAGGAGATGGCCAGGATGGTGGAGTGGCGGCTGCAGAACGTGACTGAGCAGGTGAGGCGGAGGGGGATGGGCTGTGAATGAGTTTTGAGAGGGTTTGAAACTCGTATCTGGTGCCGGGGATTGAGGAGATGGCCAGGATGGTGGAGTGGCGGCTGCAGAACGTGACTGAGCAGGTGAGGCGGAGGGGGATGGGCTGTGAATGAGTTTTGAGAGGGTTTGAAACTCGTATCTGGTGCCGGGGATTGAGGAGATGGCCAGGATGGTGGAGTGGCGGCTGCAGAACGTGACTGAGCAGGTGAGGCGGAGGGGGATGGGCTGTGAATGAGTTTTGAGAGGGTTTGAAACTCGTATCTGGTGCCGGGGATTGAGGAGATGGCCAGGATGGTGGAGTGGCGGCTGCAGAACGTGACTGAGCAGGTGAGGCGGAGGGGGATGGGCTGTGAATGAGTTTTGAGAGGGTTTGAAACTCGTATCTGGTGCCGGGGATTGAGGAGATGGCCAGGATTGTGGAGTGGCACCTGCAGAACGTGACTGAGCAGGTGAGATGGTGGCGACGGGTGGAAACAGGATGGGAATGTGGAAGGTAGGGTAGGGTGGGAGGACGGTACGAGAGGGGAAGGTTGACTTCTCACGTGCAGTATGTGGGTTTTTTTTTTTTTTTTTTTTTTTTTTTTTTTTCCTGCTTAGTACTACTGAAGTTCTCTGCAACTGTATATTGTTTATTGTTTATTGAACCTGTTTCGTTTTCTCTCCCTTGCACAGGAGTACATTCTGCAGAACGTGCCAGGGGCGCAGCAGCAGGCAGCACTAGCCCAGCAGCATCAGGCGTGGATGCAGCAGGTCCAGCATCTGAAACTCGCCCAGGCACAAGCTCAGGCGCAAGCTCAGGGGCAGACCCAGGGACAGACCCAGGCCCAGGCACAGGGACAGGGACAGGCACAGGGACAGGGACATTCAACAATGCAAGTTCAAATGCAAGGGCAGCCACATACATCACCACATGTGGCCATGCAAGGGCAAATGCCTGTGCAGTCGCCAGTGCAGATGCTGCCAGTGCATGGGGTGCATGTGGGGCAGGTGCCATCTCCTGTGCTGCCAGGGCAGGCCCATGCACACATACATGCACAGGCACACATGCACATGCAGGCGCAAGCACAGATGCACATGCAGGCGCAAGCACAGGCTCATGCACATGCACATGCTCAGGGACATGCGCAAGCACAAGCACAGCTGCAGGTCCGGGAGCAGGCTCGGCAGATGGAGATGCATGCTCATATGGAAGCTCTGGCACGGCTGCAGCAGCAGCAGAGGCTGCAGCGGAAGCAGCACAAGAGCAGGCGAGGGAGGGGCGGAGGGAGAGGGAGGGGTAGGGGGCGGGGAGGGGGGCGAGGAGGGAGGACGGGAGGGGAGGGGGAGGGGAAGGGTAAGGAGGGGGTGGAAGAGGATGGGGAGAAGGGGGAGGAAGGGGGAGCGGAGGAGCGGGAGAGGGATGAGGAGGGAGAGGGTGAGGAAGGAGAGGGAGAGGAGTGGGGAGAGGGTGAGGGAATGCAAGGTGTAGAAGAGCATGTGAGGGTGAAAGAGGAGGCTGGGGAGGGAGAGCAACCAGCAGTAGCACGAGGTCCCCCCCCTGCAGCACCTGCAGGGTTGATGCCACCAATGGTGGCAGCAGCAGGAACAGCAGCAGGAACAGCAGCAGGAGCAGGAGCAGCAGCAGCAGCAGCTGTAGGTGAACCAACAGCAGGGAGAGGACCACCACCCGCAGCGCCAGCGGGACTGATGCCACCATTAACAGCACCAACAGCACCAGCAGCACAAGCAGGACAAACAGCAGCAACAGCTGTAGCACCAGCAGCAGAGCCTGCCGCAGCAGTTGCAGCAGCTCCTGAAGCGGTAACACCTGAACCGCCACTAGTAACACCAGCTGCTGTTGTGGCTCCTGCTGCTGCTGCGGTGGCTGCTGTTGCTCCTATCACTCCAGCCTCTGCTGCTGCTCCTGTGCCTGCTGCTGTGGGAGCATCAGAGAGTGTGCGTGTGAAAACGGAGCTTGTGGAGCAAGCGAGGGAGGCGGGACGAGTGAAGCAGGAGCTACTGGAAGAGGCAGGGCACGGGGCAGGGCACGGAGCAGGGCAGCAGCGAGTGGGAGTGGTGAAGGAGGAATCAACTGAACCCGGGGCAGCCACTCCCCATGGGGGTTCCTCTGATAGTGAATGATGTGTGCTGGGTGGTGGAGGGGGCAGGGCAGGGCGTGGGGAGCAGCACGTGGGTGGGAGTTGATGTGAAGGAGAAACTGACTGAACCACGTGCTGCCCCTTCCCGGGGGGGGGTCCTCTGATAGTGAATTATGTGTGGATGGGGAGGGGGTAAGATTGGGGGAAAGGTTTGGGGAAATGTTCTCATTTGGTTATGCTTGTGGACGTAAAACGAGATGAATCAGAAAATTTGTTTTTAATCAGCAGAAAAGATGATGATCAGCCAACCACTCTATAGTAGTACGATAATTTACAACTTGAGGCAGTATTTGGTACTCAACTTGGGACATACCAGTTTTCATCATTTATTAAAGCTCTACAGTCTTTCTCATCCAGAGCAAGCGAATCGAGTGCCTCTCAAGCCTGGTGTCTCGCACAAAACCCGAATTGGAGGTTTGCAATTTCGCTCAAGGTTTTCGTACCTTCAGGTTTTTCAAGCTTCGTTGTCACCCATTCTTCCCTTCATTTGGTCCTCGTAGATTAATCTGTAGCTCATTGTTCTGTACACTTTGAAATTCTCCCTTGACGAAAGATTATGGCTAGTCGGAAGAAGCCTTTATCGGAGCAGCTAGCGGAGCTGCTAACCCCCGCGCCCACCGCGGGCCACGAGGATCCTGAAGACGCGCAGGGGTTCGGCGCAGAGGCGCGCGCGATCTTCGGCGGAGACGAGTCGGCGGAGGCGGGGGAAGGATGGGGCGCGGCGGAAGCCGGGGTCGTGCGCCTGGGGGAGGCTGGCGCAGGGCGGAAGCGCGGAGAACGCGGGACCGCGGCGAAGGAGAAGGGGCTGAGTTTGCGGGGGAATCTGGTAATGGAGGGGCGGGAATATGGCGGGAATAAGAGCAGCAGATCGGCTCTATTTGATGGGTGGGCGGATGACGTGGAGGATGACGTGGCGGATGATGATGATGACGCGGAGGATGACGACGTGGAGGATGATGTGGATGAGAGAATGCAGAAGGGAGGTGATGCGGGGAGGGATGACGATCAGGAGGGGGAGGAATGGAATGAGGAGGAGGAGGGGGAGGACAGCCCAGTCGAGGATGAGGATAACGAGGATGGCACTAGCGAGGATGATTATAGCGAGGATGTCGAGGAGGAGGCGCTACAAGGGAGCGAGGAAGAGCTGGAGGGCGACGCGCTGCTGACGGCGGCGCCCGCCACGATGGACCTTGGGATGGACGCGCTCGATCGAGACTTCGAGGCCGCCCTAAAAGACGAGTTTCGACCAGCTGCTACAGTTGCCGGGCGGGATGTTAACGATAGTGACGAGGACGATGTTGACGAGGATGGAGAGCGGGTAGGTCAGCGGGGGAGCGGCGGTGACGGCGGCGAAGGTGGCGGCGCGCCGGTGGCGATAGCGAGAAGTGCATTTAAAGGGGCGGTTCGTGACGAGGATAAGGGCCGCGCGGTAGCCGCGCAACGCGCGCTGTGGGACCGCGCCCTGGAGCTCCGCATAGCGCTGCAGCGCCCGCTGCAGTCCGCGTGCCGCCTCCCCCACGCCCTCGCGCATGCCGCCTACGCGGCTGTAGCGCCGGACGTGGCAGCGGAGTTCCAGGCTGTAGCGGCCGGCACGCGGACGGCAATCCGGCAGCTGCTGACGTTGCAGGACGAGCTGTTCAGCCGGAACGCTGCAATTGACGGCGCGTTCAAAGCCGCGCGGGCGGCGCTGGCGGAAGGCGGAGGCGGAGACGGGGAAGGGTCGGGAAGACAAGAACAAGGAGGGGAAGGAGGTTTAGGGTTTAACCAGGGTTCTATAGACGATGGGAGCTTCGAGGAGGTCTGGGAGCAGATCTCAAGGGCGTACGAACGGTTCCGACCCTTCTCCCAGAGCTCCATAGACAGGTGAGGCCTTTTTTTGGTGCAGAATGTTCAGGATTTGGGATTTAATGTAAAAACCGTGTTCTGAAGCTCAGTAGGCAGGTGATAGAGAGTGGGTGGGTGCTGCAGGGGTGTAATTGTCATTGGTGGCAAGGGTTTCGTTTCAAGGGTTCAGGGGATGGAATTTCATGCTAACCCCTGAACCTTCAACTGGCAGTGCGAACTCGTGTTGGGGTTTGCAGCCGAGGCAGGCTGGCAGCAGCCGATTGACATTCATGAGACACCTTGACTGCTCAACAAGAGTGTCAAAACGAATTTTCCCTGCTTTCCCTGCTCCCATCCCTGCTTCTGGACTTTTCCCCCTCTCGCCCCCCCACCCCACCCCTACCCCCACCACCACCACCCCCCCCTCTCACTCAATGCAGGTGGCATCGGAAGACCCTGCTGACGTCAGGGGCCATGGCAGCTGGTCGCAGCAGCAGCCGACTGAGAGTGCTCAACCAGAGCGTCTCCCAGCAGGTCGCCTCTGCCCTCCGCGCCCCCGATCGCCTCATCCAACGGTCCAGATTGCCCCGCGAGGCCGTCAGTGTGATCGGAGCAAAAGCGGAAGCTCTTGCTGCTGCCGGTGGTGCTGGGAAGAAGCGGAAGGGGCCGGACGGTGTAGGTGGGGGGGACGAGGGAGTGGGAACGGTTGGGGGAGAGGAGAGTGGAATGAGGGAATTAAATGGTGTTATTCAGGAAGAGCAGGGTGAACAGAAGGAGGGGGAAGAAAAGGAGCCGGCGGAGGAAGGGGAGGAGAATGAGAGGAAGGAGGAGGAGGAGCAGGAAGGCGAGTGGGACATGGACTCATACGATGACACAGAGTTTTACCAGCAGCTCCTACGTGAATTCCTCGACTCATCCCACCTGGAAGAGCTCGGCATTGCCTCCCAGCAGGTGGTGCGGCGGCTGCGGGGCAGCAAGGGCAAGGCGGTGGACAGGAGGGCGTCCAAGGGGCGCAAGGTGCGGTACGCTCCGATGCCTGCGCTTGTTAACTTCATGGCCCCAGAGCCCGTTCACCTGCCGCCTGTAGTAGAACGGCTGTTCGGGAATCTTTTCGGAAAGAAGTAGCTTTTGCAAGTGCTTCTGCAAGTGCTCCTGAGCTCGTCCCACGTGGAGGAGCTGGGCATAGCATCCCGGCGGCTGAGGGGCAGCAGGGGCATGGCGGTGGGCAGCAAGAGCAAGGCGGTGGACAGGAGGGCATCCAAGGGCCGCAAGGTGCGGTATGCACCGATGCCGGCTCTCGTGAATTTCATGGCCCCGGGACCCGTTCAGCTGCCGCCCGTTGTGGAAAGTTTGTTTGAGAACCTCTTCGGCCAGGTGCAGGGGAAGGAGGTGGTTTTGTTGTGGGAGTGCAGTAGAGCCGATGGCGATAGTTGATATTTTTTGTGGTTTCGGTTGAGGAAAGTTGACCACCGTGTCTGGAGTGTACCTGCGTTATACATCACCATGTTATGGGATAAAATTTTAGGAACAGCTTTTAATTCTGATTGGATTTAAATGCCCCAGCCGGCGAGCCTCGTGCCTCTGAAGCTAAAACTTATGCAGCTCTCTAGTTACGGTTACCTAAGTAATGTGGCTGCTGTAGAGTTCTGGATATCAGATTTCTTCAAGGTATATGTGGTACCGTACTATGCTATGGTGTAATTGTGAAGCAAGTGACAAGTGATAGTCAATATCATCAATGATGCTAAGTAAGAAATTTTAGAAGCATGCTTAGCATTTTTTTTCTGGTTTGACAATCATTGATGCTTTTATATTTTCAACATGGATGTCCCCTGTCGAGTCGTCCACCCACTCAGCGTCGGAACTGAGCAGGAAGCACTGAAAGATTCTCCGCCTGCCAAACCCGTGAGCAGTGTGGTCTTCGATCTTTCGGTCACTGTTCCAGACATCGCGTCGATCGTAACCGTTCTCTGATCATCGACGGCCGACGAATTGTCCCGCCGTGGTCCCTGGAGTTTCCTCACACGTGCCTAGCGAATGCAAGATTGCCGACATGTCCTACTTTCAGCCTTACGATTAAGGATTGCCTTAATTCATGTCACCGAAATCCACTTGGTGTCTGACAATTTGCTCCACCTTGAATTCTCACGAATCATAGGGGCGTAGCGTGATTTGGTTGCTCGCCAGCCTTCCCTCGACCTCAATCATGTCGCGTCGCGTCGCCAATCTCATCGCTTGATGTCGTCGTCAACGCGCCAACCACCCCCTGCTGCTTGCCTGAGCGTCATCCACTGTTGAACCAAGTCGTCCACCGAAATCCCTTGGGAATTGTTGGAAGCTTGCTGGAGAAATGGCTCCTGCCTGCAGTGCCGTTCCCTTACTGCAAGTGCCTGTGAGGTGCAACAATTCACTTGCTTTGCGGTTGAGTAGATTTCTCGGCTTCTCAAAGCGTTTCCTTTTCTTTATAGAACGGTTCATAAGAATATTACACAGAAGTCAATGTCATGGCACTCCAGTTGTTAGCCACTTCAGTTGCAGTTCAGTTAGGTTTCCTAGGTCTTTCAGTTTAGCAGCAGCCAACACAGAATTAGGGCTACATTACTTATCGCCGTTTACATTGTAGCGGTCTGGTGCAAGCTAGTATCCTCCACGCTCAGTTGGTAGTGTATTTGTGTATAGCAGGGGAACGAGCTAAGCAGGTGTTAATTCGCAACAACTGCTCCTGAGTGAAAAGGTTAGATTGGTTTGGCGGTAATGCTATTCCGAGTCGATGCGTTTTAGTTAGTGACTCTGGGTGCGTGCTGACGACTAGACGGACGTATGCTTCTCCTACTGCGCGTCCGACGGTAGGATTCTTTTCTCAGGAGTACTCGTTAACTACAAGAGTTGCGAAGCAACGTTGGCCAAGCATGATGAAGCCATAGTAGCCAGAGGAAAGTGATACGTCAGATGAACAGCAGGGATTGATGGCAAGCTCGGCAGGTTCTGTCAGAATGCAGGTCAGATTAAGTTGTGAGAGCACTTGGTGTTCTCGAAAGCGAGTTCGTTTATTCATCAACAGGTCTTTTTGATTCAACGTATTTTAGGATGTTATTGAAAGTAGCGTCATTCAGGCCCTAGAATTCGAGTTTTGACATTGATGGGCAGAGTTGTTCGGTTCCAAGGTTCCAGAGTATGTGGCCTGCCTGTGTACGGCACGATATAAGAAACCGCGTAGGTTACCTATTTCACTGGCGGCTCGTTCACGGCAGCAGTTTAAGTATGGGTCGTAGTCCAAGAAGGTGCCAAATTTCAAGGCTACAGCGTCCCTTCTGGTAGAGTTTCATCCAATGGTCATGGACGGTCATGGAGGCACCGTGACGTCGACCTCGTCCCAGTGGAGCGGATCGGACGGCTCTGATCTGTCCCCGAGGGACGTTAGATGCGCGCGAGGCCCGAGACGGCGAGGATGGCGGAGATTGACGGCCATTTTTATCGGGACCCGGCATGAGGAGGAGGAGGTTGAGCGGGGAGTTGAGGGGAGCTCGGGGAGAGAACGCGGGGAGGAGCACGAGGGAAGGGGGAACGAGGAGGGCGGTTTCGAAGCGCAGAACCGTGGAGTTGGAGAATTTCCTTTGGACGAGCGTGATTATAGCGGTGCTGATTCCGCGGCTCTGAATGATTCGCACAGTAGAGAGTCACAAGGGTACGTTACGATGTGTGTATTTACTGCATATTCAGCAAATTCTCTGCGGTCTTCACATCCCACCTATAGGCATGTGCCATCCAAGTAAACCCTCGAAGTTAACACTGTGTCAGGTAGAATAACAAGTGGTCCAGAGCGGTGGTAGAGAGCGTAGATGAATGATTAGGGACCAAGAAGGGCGTTCAGAAGCCCAGGTTCAGGTGTAATCGAGCGTAATTAGACGCGCATCTTAGTCTACCAATATTTTTTTCTTTGCTCTCCACGCCTGATTCGCTTCAAAACCCACATCCCCATCCCACTGCCTCGCACAGGTTCTGGCACTCGGCACATAGCCATCCACATGGCGCGTCCCCATTGGATCAGGTCGTGGTGGACACGTCAGCAGCACCCTCCGTGTCATTTAGCGACGCACTCATGAAAGAAGTCCTTCCCAGAAGCTTCCCGGATGGGAGCGACGGGGAGGGGGAGCTGTGGAGGAAAGGGGATGGCCTGAGAAAGGGTTTTAGAAGGGTGGGTCGGCGGCTTATTCGGGCTGTGAAGAAACGACCTGTGCTCATGAGACGGCTGGCAGCTGTGGTAAGCAGAATTGGACTTGGTCGTCACATCACGTCACATCATCACATCACGTCACATCATCACATCACGTCACATCACGTCACATCATCACATCACGTCACATCATCACATCACGTCACATCACGTCACATCATCACATCACGTCACATCACGTCACATCATCACATCACGTCACATCACGTCACATCATCACATCACGTCACATCATCACATCACGTCACATCATCACATCACGTCACATCACGTCACATCATCACATCACGTCACATCATCACATCACTGTGGCGACCGGAGCCCTTGCTCGTCCTTTCCTTTTCCCCCATCTCTTCTTTCTAGCATCCCGTTTCTCACTCCCTTTCAGCCAACGCCCCTCTAATCCCAAACCCCTCGAACCCCCCCCCTTCCCCTTACCCCACATCCATCGGGTCTAGACTAGCCCATCCTTCACCTATTCCATTCGTCCTCCCTCCCATCTCCTCCGCCTGTAGCTGACATCTTGCCTCTTCCTCCCATGGCCGCGTGTGTGCTCCTCACAGACTTCCCTTCCCTTGCATCACTCTCCAGCCGCTTCGAAAAGTCATCCCATCCTTCGCTATCCAACCGCCTCTGCTGTTTGCTCAAGTGCTCCCCTCCCCCAACCCCCCCTTTCCCCGCTTCCCTCCCTCCCCGCCTTCCTCCCCCGTAGCCTTCTTCTCCACCAGATATTCATATAAATCCTCGTTGCAGCCTGCATGTTCCTCACATGGTTGCTCATGCGCTCCTCCCCGCCTTCCCTCGCTCTGCTCGCATGCTTCCCCATTCCCCCCTTTCCCCCTTTCTACCCCTTTTTTTCCGCCTTCCCCTGCACCAGATAATCATATACATCCTCGTTGCAGCCTGCATGCTCCTCACGTGGTCGCTCATGCGCTCCTATGCCACGTCAGCCCTCACCCACGTGGGCCGCAGCACACGGGCGCAACTGGTGCAGGGCGCATCTGCAGGGATGGGCGCAGCCCTTGCCACTGCACCCTCCTCCTCTGATGCCCGGCCAGCACCTACACTTGAAGGAACCTTCGTCTCCTTCTCAGGAACCTTCCCTGGAGAAGACTCATTGGGACACTTGCACACACACATGCTCCTCGCTAGAATCACCAATTACACTCTTCTCTACACTGTCACTCCTTCACAACCCACCGACCCCAGCCTATCCAACGCTGCCACGTCAGCCAGCCATGTCGCATCCGCTGCAGCACAGTACCTCGCTTCTGCAGTCTCCCCCTCCCAGCTCCTCTCCGCCTGCTTCTTCTCCCCTGACCGTGTCCCCTTGGGGAACTCCATAAACCCTAATCACCTCGGGAACTCCGTGAGCCTGGGAAGCCTCCTTGGGGGTACTGGGGGCGGCCAGACTACTCTAGAAACTTCCGCCCAGGCCACCACTGGGGGTACCGAACAGCTGTACTACGTGGACGCATGCCCTGTCAGTGTCAACGCCTCTGCCTCTAGCCTACAGGGGCCAGTGCAGCAGCAGCAGCAACAGGGTGATACGCTGGTGTTGATTTCCATAGTGCCGTCGGCTCTTATCCTTGCGCCCTTGGATTCCGGCAGTGACACTGTCAGGGCGCTCTGCATCGCCCTGCCACTGGTCATCCTTGTTATAGGCTTGCTGCTCGTCTGCATGAACGGATCCACGGACCTGGCTCGAACCGGGCAGACGCTGCGGCAGGAGCTGGTGCGGCAGCTGGTGGAGAAGCACAGGGTGGAGCAGCGCAGCAACCACAAGAGCCAGTTCCTCGCCAACATGAGGTGAACCCACGATCTCTGCTTCTTCTGATGCGCCAGAGGTTCTTAGAGTGTTTTTGAGGCGCGTCACAAGCTTGTTCCACGGCTGGTTGAGAGAAGCGCAGGGTGGAGCAACGCAGCAACCACCTTTGACTTACTTCCTCCTCGTCTCCTCCCCTCCTTCCTCTTCCCAGTCACGAGCTGCGCACGCCACTGGCGGGCATCATCGGGCTGTTAGACCTGTTGGCGTGCGACGCGCTCACCCCGGAGCAGGAGGCCATGGTGCTGCAGATCAAGTGCTCTCCTCCTCTACTCCTCCCCCCCTCCCCTCCTCCCCCTCTCCCCTCCTCCCCTCCTCCCCTCTTCCCCTCCTCCATACAGTCACGAGCTGCGCACGCCACTGGCGGGCATCATCGGGCTGTTAGACCTGCTGGCGTGCGACTCACTCTCCCCCGAGCAGGAGGCCATGGTGCTGCAGATCAAGCGCTGCGCCTCAGGACTCCTCGCGCTCATCAACAACGTCCTTGATATTTCCAAGGTCAGAGGTCTGCCCTGCCCTTCCCTGCCCTGTGCCTCAGGCCCGCCCTGGGCCCTGCCCTGTTTGCTCTTGAGGCGAGTTCGAGGCGCCTCAAAAAGCGCTGTGCCTCGGGCCTGCTAGACCTCATCAACAACGTCCTTGACATCTCCAAGGTCTGAGCCCTGTTTTGTCTGGTCTGGTCTGGCCTTAGCATACCCTACCGCCCTTCAGTATAATCACAGAGATGGAGACGCTGCTCGACGCGTTTGCAGTGCACTGCATATACTCATTCCCATGCACCCCTCACTCCCCCGTTTTTGAGTCGACTCAAAAATATTCTCATTCCCATGCACCCCTCACTCCCCCGTTTTTGAGTTGACTCAAAAATATACTCATTCCCATGCACCCCTCACTCCCTTTCCACCCCCCCTGCATGTGGAAGTGGGCGCGATAGAACTCACCATGGCGCCCCTCAGCATAGAAACGGAGGTGGCGACACTGCTGGACATGTTTGCAGTGCACTGCATCTAATCATCCATTCCCATGCACCCCTCCCTCGCTCTCCCCCTCCCCCTGCAGGTGGAGGTGGGCGCGCTAGAGCTCACATTAGCGCCCTTCAGTATAATCACGGAGATGGAGACACTATTGGACATGTTTGCAGTGCACTGCATCGGCAGCGGGGTTGACCTCTCTATGGATCTACTAGACGACCTCCCGGTAATGGTGCTGGGGAGGTGCTCTGCAACCTGCTTTCCAGCAGAATCATGCCAGTCGCTCCCTCCCTGCTCGTTCCCTTCCATTTCTTTTCAGGTGGAGGTGGGGGCGTTGGAGCTCACATTAGCGCCCTTCAGTATAGTCACGGAGATGGAGACATTACTGGACATGTTTGCAGTGCACTGCATCGGCAGCGGGGTGGACCTCTCAATGGATCTAGCAGATGACCTCCCAGACATGGTGCTGGGGGATGCAATGCGGTTCCGCCAGGTTCTCAGCAACCTGCTGTCCAATAGCGTGAAGTTCACGGAGCAGGGGTATATTCACGTGCGCGCGTGGGTCGTGCACACTCCCAACACGTTTGCCATGGTGAGTGAATTGCACCCCTTATGATGCCTTTCTTATGCTTGAGTTTGTTCAATCTGCCCTGCCCCTCCTCTTCCAACCCCTTCCTCTCTCACCGAACCAATGCTTTCCTTCCCTCCCCTCCTCCCTTGCTTGGTATACCCCCTTCCAGTCGCGAACAGCCCTGTAGAGCGGTGCAGACATATACTCCCTGCAAATGAGCACTTTCCGCGCCCTCCTCCCCCACAAGCTGCTGCTTTGAGACGACTCAAATTTCACCAATGCTCTCTCTCCCTCTCTCCCTCTCCTCCGCCCCACTGGTTTTCCCGCCCCCTTCCCAGTCGCGAACAGCTGTGGAGAGCGGTGCAGACATCTACTCCGTGCGGATGAGCGCTCTCAGCGCCCTCCTTTTGAGTTGAATAAAAATTCCCCTTTTCTCCCTCCGTTGCCTTTCCCTCTCCTTTCCCAGTCGCGAACAGCTGTGGAGAGCGGTGCAGACATCTACTCCGTGCGGATGAGCGCTCTCAGCGCCCTTCTCCCCCACAAGCAGCACCCACCTGCTGCCGCGCCTGCTCCCTCTGCTCTCGCTTCTGTTGCTTCTGCTGGCAGTGCTGTCGGCAGTGCTGCTGGTAGTGTTGTTGGGAATTCTGCTTCTGCTGCTGGTACTGCTAGTGCTGCTGCTGGGGCCGCTCGTTGCCACAGCAGGTACAGCTTACAGGCAACAAGGGAAAACGCATTGGTAGGGAAAGCGGAGGAGCAGGAGGAGCGCGAAGAGGATGGGGTTGAGGATGGGGAGGAGGAGGAGGTGGAGGAGGAGGAGGAGGATGAAGAGAGCCTGAGGGGCCACAGGGGAAACCCGCACGGCTGTGCTCCTATGATGGCAGCGGCAGGGTGCCTACCAGTAGGGGCAGTAACAGGAGGCTGGGAACGAGCAGAACTAGGGGGAGGAGCAGGCGGAGGTGCATTCACAGGAGCACGGGTAGGGAGGAGCGGGGGAGCGAGAGGGAGGGGCGAGGGAGTGCGAGGAGCCTTGGCCTGCACAGGTGGGTTTCCCTGTGCAGGCGGGCTGTCCTCCTCACCCTCATTCAACCGCTCTTCTAGTCTCAGGGAGCAGAGCAGCCCACTGTTAGGAACCCGGGAGGGGGGAGTGAGGACTTACAGTACCCGTAGAGCCCCAGGAGAGGTCATGAGAGTGCTGTGCGTGGGAGGGGTTGCAGATACCGCAGCTGAATCGGACACAGAGGGGAGTGAGCTTGTGGATATAGTGATTGAGGAGGGGGGGAGGTTGGGGTGGGGCGAAGGAGTGGGGAGGGAGGCTGGAGGCCAAACAGATGGGATGGCCTGTAGTGGGATGGGTCCAGGGTCAGCTGGGGAAGGTGTAGCTGAGGATGCTGCAGAGGAAGGGGAGGGTGTACCTGGTGACAATCCACCTGAGGAGCGCCCACCTGGGGAGCGCCCACCTACGGGTGAGGAGGACCCACCTGAGGAGGTTCCACCTGGGGGAGAGGAGGTTCCACCTGGGGAAGGCCCAGCAGTCGAGCCTGCCACAGACGACCGAGTGCTGATAATCTTTGAGGTGGATGACACGGGGTGTGGTATACCACCGGAGAAGCGCGAGGCGGTGTTTGAGAGCTTCTCGCAGGTGGACGAGTCGGCCTCGCGCGTGCATGCGGGGTCGGGGCTGGGGCTGAACATAGTGAAGGGGCTGGTGGAGCTCATGGGCGGCCATGTGGCAGTTGCTGATAAGGAAGGTCCTGGTGCCCTCATCCGCTTCTCCCTCATGCTGCCCCGTGTGCCCCCTCCTGCTCCTCGTTCTGCTGCTGCTGTTTCTGCTGCTGACGGTGGCGGCGGTGCTCGCATGGACGACCCAGACGTATCGGTGTCTTTCATTCCAAGGTGGGCGGGCGCACAGTTAGTATTTCAGGGCTGCTGAATCTGGCCTGGTACAGCTGCTCCTTGCACAAGTCACTGAAAGGATGATATAGGCTCGGAAGTCTCTCAGAGAAGAGAACCATGTAACCACTCCTTGATGCTGCAGGGTGTTTTCTCAAAACATTGAAGAGAATTCTCAAAAACACCCTGGAGAACCATGTAACCACTCCTTGCATTGCCCCCATCCCCTCATCCACCCATCCACCCATTGTCCCATCGTCCCATCCACCAGGTTTGGTGAAGGCCCGTCGGATAACCCATGGGGGGAGCTGGCTCCCTCCCCTCCCCAACCAGCCCCTCCTGCTCTCAACCACAGCGAGGTAAGCTCGTCCCCACCGCCGCTTTCCTGGGTCGACTTTTGAGGCGCCTCAGAAGTTCCCACCACTGACTTTTGAGGCGCCTCAAAGTTTTTCTGCTTGGATAATCCACTAAGCGACCTGGCTGGTCGATCTCCCTGCTCTCCTCTCCCACCCCTCCCCGCTCCTGCCCTGCAATGCCACAGCAATCGCACCTCCTGTTCCCCCCTCCCGCACCGCTCCCAACCCGAACCCCTTTTCCCCCTCTCTTCTCCCCTTCAATCACTTGCAGGTTCAGGTGGTGCTGGCGATGGAGGGGTGTCCAGGCAGGGCCACAGCAGTCACACCTCCTGTTTTCCCCCCCTTCCCACACCTTTCCCAACCCAACCCCCCTTCCCCCCTCTCCCCCCCGTCCTTCACGTTCAGGTTCAGATGGTGCTGGCAATGGAGGAGTGTCCAGGCAGGGCCACAGCCACCAAGTGGCTGGAGGGCAAGAGAATTGCAGTGAGGGAAGTGGGTGGGAGCATGCTGCAGACTATGCCGTTAGCTCCTCCCTTTTCTCCCACCTCCCCACCTCTTCCACCAATTCCTCCCTCCTTTTCGTCACGTGTGTGCAAGTTCAGGTGGTGCTGGCGATGGAGTGTCCTGGCAGGGCCGCAGCAATCGCACCTCCTGTTCCCCAGGCCCCCCACAACCCCCCTCACTCCCCCCTTCTTCCCCCCTTCCATCACGTTCAGGTTCAGATGGTGCTGGCAATGGAGGAGTGTCCAGGCAGGGCCACAGCCACCAAATGGCTGGAGGGCAAGAGAATTGCAGTGAGGGAAGTGGGGGCATGGGAGACCATCAAAACCGCACTGGACCACGCCATTCACACCTCCCTGCTGCGCCGCCGAACCGCTGCCCTCACTGCTGCTGCCGCCACCATCGGCCACGGGAAAGGTGCAAGGGGAGACAGAGGGATTCAGAGCGGTGCAGAGGGGTGTGGAGAGGCAGGGAATGGTTCTCAGAGAAGGGGCGGGGCGTTTGTGTCGTCTGAGGCGCGGAGGGGGTCGTTCACTGCGCCAATAGTGCTTGCAGGGCGTGTGGGGCCCTCCCTGGGTCCTACTGCTGCTGCTGCTACTGCTGCCGCCGCTGCTGCTGATAGAGGCAACACTGTAGACGCTTCTTCTGCTGCTGTTAGTGTGGGGAGGCACGAGGGAGGGCGGGAGGGAGAGAGGGGAGGAAGCAGGCGGTGGCTGCCATCCCGTCTGGCCCCCTTCGACTCGGCTCAAAGGCCTTCCCAGGGGTTGCTTGCAAAGATGGAGCTCTCATCGATGCTGCCGTCTTCTCTCGCTGCTCTGGCTGGCCTTGGGCACTCGTCCCACCACACGTTCTCCTCCCACCACATTCAGCCAGGTCAAACAAGTCAATCAAGTCAACAGCAGAGAGCAGCAGCTCAAGAGGCCCCAGCAGTTCTCACCCACAGAGCGAACACCTGGGAAGGGGACATGGAGAGGGAGGGCCGGGATGGGGAGAAGGGGAAGGACCGGAAGAGTGTTGGGGAGGAGGAAGCAGAGGGGGAGAGGGAGAAAGAGGGGGAGAGAGAGGAGGCGGAGTGGGGAGAGGAGAGGGACACAGCCACAGCAGCCACAGACAAACAAGCAGATGCAGATGCAGATGCAGATGCAGATGCAGACGCAGACGCAGACGCAGACGCTGACAAAGATGGAATCAAGCTTGCCGACCGCAGCTACCCTATTCTGGCAATCATCGACATCATGCTGCTTCCAGGAAGCCGCGGGCTTTGCAACGCGTTGATAGACCCAGCAGAGCAGGACCCGTTAGCAGTGGGGGCGAGTGCTGCCAGTCACCTGCCCCGCTTTGACGTGCACGGGGAAGGGGGTCTCAGTAGCCCTGCTGCTCGCCCTTTCATGGTCCCGCCTGAGCTGGAGAGGCTGTGTGCTGATCTGAACGCCATCCGCACGCAGACACCGCAGGTGGGTAACAAATTGGCTGTGTCCCTTTCTGCCTGGAGCTGAGGTGGCTTTTGAATCGAGGGAAGACCAGAATCCGCCTGTGCTGCTGCAACCCTCAACGTTGTGCCAGCTGTAATTTGCCCTCTTCTCCCTTTTTCCCAGATGGCAGACTTACTCGTTGTGGCGTGGCTAGTCCCTCCAGGGGTGGACCCTCGCCTGTGTCGCTTCCTACACCAGCACCACCACTCGCTCATCAACACACGCTCATCACCACTCGCTCATCACCACTCGCTCATCACCACTCGCTCATCACCACTCGCTCATCACCACTCGCTCATCACCACTCGCTCATCACCACTCGCTCATCACCACTCGCTCATCACCACGCACCCCTTGCACGCCTCGCGCCTCACACACATCCCTGGTGCCCCTTATGCCCCTTGTGCCCCTGTTTCACCTTGTACTGTAACCCAACTCCCCCTTCTCCCCAGATGGCTGAGTCCCTTGTCGTGGCGTGGCTAGTCCCTCCAGGGGTGGACCCTCGCCTGTGTCGCTTCCTACACCAGCAGCACCACTCGCTCAGCACCACCCGCCCCCTGCATGCCTCGCGCCTCACACACATCCAAGAGCCCCTGGTGCCCCGCTTGCCCCTTTTGCCCCTTATGTGCCGTTTGAACCTCAACCCCCCTCACAGATGGCAGAGTCTCTTGTCGTGGCGTGGCTAGTCCCTCCAGGCGTGGACCCTCGCCTGCGCCGCTACCTACACCAGCAGCACCACTCGCTCGTCACCACACGCCCCCTGCACGCCTCGCGCCTCACCCACATCCTCTCCTGCTTCGCCCACGCCCTCAACGGAGAGCCCATGGGCGGGGGCTCGTCTCGAAACTCGTTTGCCATGCAGGCCCCACCCGCTGCGGAGGTGCCTGCTGCATCGGCTGCTGCAGCATCTCCCGAGATGATTCACCAGCACCACCACCAGCAGGAGCAGCAGCAGCAGCAGCAGTCACACTCCCCTGGCCATATCGCCAATCACACATCTCTGCTCACATCCATATCCCCAGTTGGCCTTCCTCAGACTGCTGCTGCTGCCGTGGCTGCAACCTCAGGCTCCAAGGGGCCTGAAGAGTTTGCTACAGTCCCTGTAGCAGCGGTAGCAGGCGTGGAGGGAGAAGGAGTGGGAGATGTGGGAGTAGCAGGAGTACCAGAAGGAGCAGGGGGAGTGGGAGGAACAGGAGGAGTGGATGAAGCTGTAGGTTTGGGAAGAACAGGAGGAGCAGAGTCAGGAGCAGGAGGAGCAACAGGAGCAGGAAGCCTCGCAGAGGCATGTGGTGGTGGTGGTAGTGCTACTGCTAGTATTGCGGCTGCTGGTGTGGGTTCACGCGCTTTCTGGGGTGGGTTTGGCAGCTTCAGCGATGGCGCTATGGGTGCTGCTGCTGCAGGAAGTGCCCTTCCGGCTGATGAAGAGCATGAGTTTCAATCCTATGACCTTACTGCACCAGAAAACGCCTTCCCCACGCTTCTGCCCGTCCCTGAAATGCCTGGCCCAGAAATGCATGCCCTAGCAGTGCCTGCACCAGCAGTGCCCGCCCTAGCAGTGCCTGTGGCAGAGTCTTTGTCCCTTTCTACACCCACAGCGTCCGCTGCTGTGGACGTCCCTCCGTCGCTCAACTCTGTGTGGGAGAGCATCACACGCAGCACCAGGCTCCAATCTGTTGCTGCTGCCGCCGCTGGTGCTGCAGCTGTTGCCACTGCTGCCACTACTGCTGCTACTACTGTTGATGCTGGTGGCACAGTGGGAAAATCAGTAGCAGCGGGGGCAGAAGCAAGAGCAGCAGGTGTGGGGGGTGAGGAGATAATGGAGGAGGAAGAGGATGGGGAAGAGGAGGAGGGTGTGGAGAGGGAGGAGCGGGTGGAGGGAGGGGGAGGGAGGCGGCGCCTCTCTTTCAACGCTTGGCGTGTGCCTGCCTCGGTCAGTTTCGAGTCGACTCAGAGGCTGCCTGCGTCGGCCGTGCCCCCTGCTGGTAGTGCTGAGACACAGCCGCTGACAACTGCGCTTACAGCTCAGCACCCCTCTGCATCTTCTCCCACCGTTCACCACCTCTCTGCATCTCCGCACTTACATGTGCACTTCTTGCAGCACCGCTCCCTCTCAGACCAGTATGCTCGCCCCACAAATACCACCAGTCTTGCCAACCCCCACCAGCCCCGCTCAAGCCTATCCGACGGTCTAGAACGGCTTAGAATGATCAACGTGAATCTCAGCCATCCCTCCTCCTCCCTGGCCCACCGCCCTTCAGCTGCTGCTGCTGCTTCAGCGTCGCTCACTTCTCCCTCTGCGCTTCCGCATTTTACCACTCTAGTCAGCCCGGGCCAGGGAGGCAGCCTCGGGCGAGGCTCGGCACAGATCCGGAAGCTGAGCAGCAGCTTCGGCGGTAGGGCGCGCTTTGCTGCGGGTGCTCCTGGTGCTTCTGCGGCAGGTGCGGGGAACCTGAATGGAATAGGGCTGGGCTGGCCGGGTCTAGCCAGCCGGCCTCAGTTTGCTTCTCTCTCCGGTGCGTCCCGGCTGGGTCTTATCCGGTCCATGTCAGCCGTACAGAGCTATGCAGCGGCCTCCTCCCTCTCTGTTCTCTGCCAACCCACCATGCTCTCTGGAATAGGCTATGACCACCAGCCTATTGTGCTGGCCGGTATGGGTGGTATGGGGTATGATCAGTCCAGTGTGCTGTCTGGATTCGGGCCTAGTAGCTTGAGCCACGAAACCATCTTGGAAGCTCCGCACATGTCGACGCAAATGTCGCCGCGTGGTTCACCTGGGATGTCACCTGGCATGTCACCTGGGGTGTCACCTGGCGTTTCACCTGGCGTGCTGTCTGGAATGCTGTTTGCGATCGGGTCTGAGCCGATACCAGAAGCGTATAAGGTGTCACCTGGGCGTGGGAATGTTCCTAGAAAGCTCCCTGGCGGAGGTAGTGGTAGGTACGACCTTCGGGGGAGCGGGAGGAGCAGCAGTGGCAGCCCAAGTCTTGCTGGTGGTAGCAGAAAGTACGACCTGCAGGGAGGAGGGGGGAGCAGGAGTGGGAGTCTCCCTGGTGGTGGTAGTAAGTATGACTTGCGTGGAGGAGGGGGGAGTAGCAGTGGGAGGAGAAGGACCATGGGACTGCATGTGCGGAGGGGAAGCGCTGGTAGTGCCAGTGGATTAGGAATGCATGAGAGCAGCATGGGCATGGGCATGGGCATGGGCATGGGCATGGGCATGGGCATGGGGATGGGGCTGGGTGGTTCCACTGGTAATCTGCATGCTCCTTCGCCTTACTCTACTAGTGCCCACGCCATGTCACCTGCCCATGCCTCGTCACCTGCCCATGCCACGTCACCTGCTCATGCCACGTCACCTGCCCTAGCCATATCACCAACCCAAGCCCCGTCGCCTCACTCCCAGCCAGTGGCTTACCACAGGAGAGGGGCAGAGAACACAGAGTCAACATTCTCACAGCCACCAGCATTCCTCAAAGGCAGCACCGTACTCTACTCCACCAGCAACCATCCCACCCACTCCAACCACTCCTCCTTCTCCTCCCAGCAAGCAGCAGCAAGCTCTCTCAGGCCGGGACTAGCAGCGGAAAGCTCAGCAGCAGCAGCAGCAGCTCCACCCGCTTTTGTGTCCTCGCCTCACTCGCACGCAGCAGGCTACCTGCGAGGCTTTCACAGAATGGCCCGTACCAATTCCAGCTCCAAATCCGCTCTTCTAGACGCATCCAAAGGCATGTCTCACACCAGCTCTGTTTCTCTTGACGCTCCCAGCAAAGGCACGGCCCGCACCAGCTCCAACGCCCCTGATGCACCCGAAAGCATGGCTCGCACCACCTCTGCTTCTCTCGATGCGTCCAACAAAGGGATGCCCAATGTTGGCCTGATTGCCAGGAGCATGCCTCGCACAAGCTCAGCCCCTCTAGACGCCCCTCGTGTGGTTCCCATGCCCAGAAGGTCGCTCCAGCACCATTCAGCCAGGTACTCTGTGGCTGGGGCGAATGGAACGAGTGGAATGGTTGCTCTTGACGCGCCTCAGAAACACCATTCTGCCAGGTACGCTGCTAGTGAGGTGACTGGTGGGGCGTCTGCCCTTGACGAGCCTCAGAAATACCCTTCTGCCAGGTACACTGCTAGTGAGGCATCTGTGCTTGAGGCGCCTCACAAACACCACTCTGCTAGATACTGTGGTAGTGGGGCGAGTGGGGTGGATGGGACAAGTGGGGCGTCTGTTTTTCTTGAGGCGCCTCACAACCACCACTCTGCCAGGTACACCACTCTGCCACTCTGTTTTTCTGGCCTTGAGGCAGAACCAGTTGTACGAACGAGTATGCAGCCAGGCATGCAGTCAAGAGAAGTGAAGGAAGGAGGTGGAGAAGCAGAGGGCGCATTAGCAGCTGGGGGAGTGGTGGAAGCAGAGGGGACAGGAGGAGCTGCTTGTGCTGCTCACATTGCTGCTGGCACTGCCGCTGGCATTGCTGCTAGCGTGGAAGCAGGCCGGTCAAGAGTGCCCGCTGCGTCAGAGACAACCCAGCAGGATGGGCACGGCACGGGAGGGAAAATTCCTAGGACAGGATCAGCGTTGGAGTTTGGGCTTCTGAGGGGGCTGTCTGTACAAGTGCCTGAAGGTTCTGGGGGACCAGAGTTGAATGGTGGTTCTGAAGGGAGAGGGTATGTGGGGAGAGAGTTGCTTGATTTCTCTCAAGGGAGAGACTCGCCCAGTGGCTCTGAGGAAGGAAACTTGCTCGGAGGGTCTGAGAGGAGAGACTTTGTAGCGGTTCTTAGTGAACCTAGATTGAGTTCAGATGAGTGGAGGGAGGTTGATGCTGACCTGACGAAGCACCTGGAGCTGCCAGCTGGCCATAGAGTGCAGCAGACGCAGCAGCAAAAGGAGGGGGAGCAGAAGAAGAGGGAGCTACAAGCGCAGCAACAGCAGCAGCAAGAGCAGCAGCAAGAGCAGCAGCAGGTGCCACAATCACCAACCACCCATCAGCTCCCTTGGCAGCACTCTTCATCTCTCCTGCGCACCACATCCGCTACACCCAACACCCTGCAGCACCACTCGTCACACCTCTCCATCGAATCAACTTCCCACGCCCAGAATCAACCTGAGCCGTTCCCCTCTCTCTCCTACACCGTCCCCCAACGCCCTTCCACGAGCCCTTGCTGCAGTGACAACCCAAGGGGGTTTTCTAGGCGAGGAATGGGAGGGAGCGGGGTGGAGAGGATTGGTGCAAGAACGGACAGTGGGGAGAAGGGTGAGTGGGGAGGTGACACAGAAGCTTTTGAGTCGACTCAAAAGGGTGAGTGGGGAGGTGACACAGAAGCTCAACCGGATACAGCAACTGCCACAGTTGGAGCAGCAACAGGGGGAGCAGCAGGAGGAGGAGGAGCAGCAGGTACAGCAGCAGCAGCAGTAGGTGCAGCAGCAGCGCGAATGTCAGCTTTTAGCGGCCATGGTAGCCAGCCAAACACCCCTAGTCCGCTAGCAGGAGCGCTGTTGCCGTTTGGCTCTATTGCAGAGGTGTTGAGCTCGGTGTGGAGTGGTAGTGAGAGGAGGAGTGTCGCGGGAGGGGCAGAGGGAGTGGGAGGGAGAGGAGGGGAGGGCGGAGGAGAGAGAGAAAGGGAGGGTGGGGGAGAGGGATGCGGGGAGAGAGGGGGAGAAAGAGGGGGGGACGGAAGGGGAGAGGGACGTGGGGAGGGTCAGCCTCGCCCGACTAGAACACAGTCCAAGGCTCGCAGCCCAACAAACTCTCTCAATCACTCCCTCTCTCACTCCCTCTCTCACTCCCTCTCTCACTCCCTCACTCACTCCCTCACTCACTCCCTCACGAACCGCCTCTCTGGCCTATCAGGCCTCTTCCGCAGCAACTCCTCATCAGACTACGAGGCAACGGTAGCAGCAGCAACAGCAACAGCAACAGCAACAGCAGCACCAACAGGAACGGCCAGAATTTCCAAATTCGGTGACAGCAGCAGCAGCAATGGCAGGCGAGCCATCACCCCTGGAAGGAGTTCAAGAGAGGAAAGCAGGCAGTCGACTCACAAGTCGCCGCAGCATTCACGAGAGGGAAGCGTGGGATCGAATCACCAGTCCCCGGCGGTCACACCGGGAAGGAGGTCGCGGGAAGGGAGTCGGCAGAAGCAGCGGCGGGCTCAAAGATTGTCTGGTCCATTCGCTTCCACAGCTGCCTCTGCTTCTGCTTCTGCTTCGGGATCTGCTTCGGGACTCACTCCTCCCACGCCTGCCCTATCCTCCTCCTCCCTCCCTGGCAGCGTGGGCCCGTCCACCCCCACCACCCCTCCCACAGCAGCTCGGCCAAGCTTTGACGCTGACGCCCCTGCCTGGCGAGCGCGGCCCAGCTTTGAAGTGCCGCAGAGCAAGGCGAGGCGAGGCATGACAGGGGCCCACACCCCTGGGAGAGACACCACTGGTAGACCCACAGCAGCAGGAGCAGCAGCAGGAGGAGCCGCAGCAGCAGCAGGGGGAGCAGCAGGAGGAGCAGGAGGAGGAGGAGCGGCAGGGGGAGGGGCGATGCCGACAGGCCAGCCGCTGGCAGGGCTGCATATCCTGGTGGTGGAGGACACAGCAGTGCTGCAGAAGCTGGCAGCGTCCATGCTTAGGAAAATGGGAGCCCATGTGGCTGTGGCTTCGGATGGGCAGCAGGCTGTTGCTGCCGTGCTGAGCTCGTGGGGGGATGACGATGAGACTTCTGGTGCTGCTGCTGCTGCTGTTGCGGCTGGTGGTGGTTCTGGTGGTGCTGGTGGTGCGGGTGATGCTGGTGGTGGCGGTGGTAGTGGTGCTGGTAATGCTACCATTAGTGGCAGTGGCAGCAGGAGGAGGAAGAGTTTCAGCATGTCGAGAGAAGCGATTCTGGCCGGCTCATCCGCAGCAACAGCAGCAGAATCAACTGTAGCAGCAGCAGCAGCAGCAGGGCAGCAAGGGAAGCTTGAGAGGGAAGGGAAGCTAGAGAGGGAGCGCAGCAGCAGCCCAGCGCCCCGGTCAGGCAACTCTCTCAACTCAAGCACCCCAGGGACCTCAGCTGCACCACACAGCACCGCAGGGACAACCCATACAGGCAGTGCGGGAAACGCAGGCAAAGCAAGCAGCCCCCGCACCCCTACCAGCACTGTCCAGTCTCTCTTTTCCTCTGCTGCCACTGCCCTTCACTCTGCCACTGCCTCTCCCTCTGTCGCTGTTGTTCATTCTGCCTCACTCTCGCCCTCCGCAGGTCCTTTTCGCTGGAAGCCTCGCCGGGGCAGCAGTGGCTCTGTCTCCTTCCTCCTCTCTGCCCTCCCCTCCGCCTCCCCCCTCTCTTCCAGCCCTCTGGCCTCATCTCTCTCGTCAAGCCCTCCCGTGGGAACAGCATTGAGAGGGGGAGGAGGGGGAGCAGCTGCAGCGGCAGCAGCTGAAGAAGCTGAAGCAGGAGGCGGGGGAGGAGGTGGTTTTGGGGAAGGGTGGGAGGCAGCAGGTGTGCAGCAGGGTCGGAGCTCTGAGGCCATTGAGTCACAGCTCGCAGAGAGGGGAGAGGAGAGACCCAGGTCGTCCTTTTCCAACCCGTTTGACCCAGCAGGGACAGCTGTAGCAGCATCGGCTGTTGCAGCGTCAGTTGTAGCAGCGTCATCTGCAGCAGCGAATTGTGGCAGTGATGTGGTGGCTACAGCTGGGGTGGATGGGTGCAAGGGCAGTGGGATGGGTGGAGTAGGGGATGCAGCAGCAGCAGCAGCAGCGGATCCCTTCGACATTGTGCTCATGGACTGCCAGGTACTTGGCGTTTTCCTAGTGCTCGTCATCGCACCTCATCACACCGATTCAGCACACGCATCAAGATGCCTCTCCCTTTGCCTGTCCGCCCATGCAGATGCCAGTGATGGATGGGTATACGGCCACGAGGACCATTCGTGCCGCAGAGAGGGGCACGGGGCGCCACACTGTCATCTGTGCACTCACTGCTCATGCACTCGCCAGGTGAGGGAATGGCAGTTGCTCTGCAAAATCCTCTGCACCACTTCGCACTGCTTTGCATTGCACACTGTCATCTGTACGCTCACTGCTCATGCACTCGCCGGGTGGGGGAGGGAGTTCCATGTATCATCTCGTTTTGCCTCTCCCTCTCTTGCCAACCTCTCTTTGCCAACCTTTCTTTTGCCCCTTGTCTGGCACGCAGTGACGAGGCCAAGTGCAGGCAGGCAGGAATGGATGGGTACCTCACAAAGCCAATCAACATACGGTGCGTACAAAGGGGAAGGTCATGCATAGCATCCATGTTAACAGCTTCATGCATTTTCCATCTGTGGCTGTGCTCCTAACTTGCACAGCTTGCTCGTTGTTCAAGCGCCTAAAAAGTCATCTCCCTGTGACCCTGGCTCTCGGTGCTTGTCTCTGCTTCCGTCTTGCACAGCTTGCTGGTGGACACTGTTCAGCGGCTGGTCAGCAACAACAGGAGGGCAGCAAGGCGAAGCTTGAGCAACCTTGGCGCGACTGCCACTGCCAGCGGCACTGCCGTGGCCAATCAAGGCAGCTTCAGCAGCGCTTCCAGTAACAGCCCATACACCAGCCCTTTAGGGTCAACTGCTAGTACCACTCGCCCTAGTCCAGGCATACGGACATCATTTTCTTACACGTTGGGGGCGAGTAAGGGACATTGAGTACCTACTGGTTGGAGTAGCCCAGCTTTGTGTAGGTTAGCAGGGTAGTTTTGTTTTACAGGCTTCATTTGTGTAGTCCATGAGTTGTAAGGGAAAGTTCAGCGCTTTCAGGGTGTGGGGTTTTGCTGGACAAAGAACTGTTGGAGCTGGTAAAACGATATGTTTCCACGTCATAAGACAATGCTACAGTATAATGAGCTACGTATAACAATTGTGAACGACTTTCCCGCTTCATTCACCAGGGATTGAGACCCCCTGCTTGAGGCGTTCCCGCTTCAGCTTCCTCTGTGAGACGGGTTTCTTCTTCTTGGGTGGCAGAACGCTCTGTGCGTAGAAGTACATGGCAGCGTGGCCGACGAGGAAGAGAACGAAGAAGCCCACCACGACCAGGATGACTAGCAGCGTGGGGTTGAAGCCTGAATCAGGTGGCGTTTGACCCTGTAGGAAAAAGGAAAATAAGAGATGCACTTTTAAAAGAAATCGAAATAAAACAAGCCACTACCACTAGGACGACCAGGAGCGTGGGGTTGAGCCTGAAGGACCGTCTGTCCCTGGGGAAACGGAGATAAAAGGCGAAATTTGAGAAAGGATTTCAGGTCGATGGTAGAATGCGGAGAATCAGGATCAGGGAGGTGGAGATGGCACCTGACCAAGGAAATAAGGCAACCAGCTCATTTCGAGGCTGTTGCATGAGAAAATTTTAAGATGTACGGCGAGATCCATTAGCAAAAAGTCAATGACTGGGTTCAATATCCCAAGAGAGTCCACGTTTCACCAGTGTTTACATAAGATCACGTCCACCGCACTTGTTTATTGCCGAATTCTGAAGACAAACACGGAAAGAACGGCTGACATTACCTCTCCTGGGCCCGCCATGACGAGGTGTGCTCAAAATAAATCCTCCTCAGCAGAGATGACAGGGAAGAACTGGCAGGCGAGTCACTGTTTTCGAAAACTGTAGTGAAAGGATGAGTAGGATCTGCTCTGCAAAATTATGCTTGCGAACTAAAATTTAGGTTTGACAGAATGTGTCCGTCCTAGTGCCTAGATTACTGCTGGAAGATTCTGATGGAGTGGTTGAGAAAGTTGGATTCTGGAAGTCTGGAGCTAGTTTATGGGGTGTGATTATAAACGAAGTTGTTGTCAGATCGGAGGGACAGTAGCCGTTGCGTTGGTCCTCTTGCGACCGTGAGGTTTTCGTGTTTCTGGTCAAACTTGGCGCCAAAATAATTGGCGAGCTCATTGATTGGCTCGCCAGTTCATATTCTCAGTAACGCTGTAATGTGTACAAAGCACTGACACATTCCCCAAGAACATTTACTATGAAAAGAATTTATCGCTGAACGCGGATTTCCACTCCAGAATTTGGCAATCCAGTGCCCGCCAAGCAAACCTATAACTTCCAGAATTTTCCCCTTACCTTGCTTTAGCAGTTCAACATCCTTCCTAGACCTATCCAAGCGCTCTAAAGTGGAAAAGAACCGCTTTGTTCAGTGAATTTGAGTGGCATGGCTGAATGAATTGCGGTCATTGAAGACGAGTCTCTGCAGTCACCATCAGAAAATGCATCAGCCACAATGTCATGGCGACCGTGCTCAGCTCACGTTCGGTCCCTTCCGAAAAAGCACAGTTCTCGCCATTGGCTTAACAGTCAACGAGCTGACGGCGCGAAGTTCGTCTATACTGGACAGTCTTTCTTACTTGCCGGCGCCGGCAGACAGCCTCCACGTGTAGACGGCGATGGGGTAACCAGATCCTCCTGGCGCGTAGTAGTTTTCGCGAACTCGCTTGAGCGACGTAAGCGACAGAAAGGCGACACTTCGAGTGGTAGTAACCAGCTCGGCGAAGACATCAAGGCGAGAAGCGAATCTGGAAGGACCAGACGAGCTTCGCGAAAGTATGTAATCGTTCATTCCGTATGTCCATGCAGGTGATGGCAAGACAAGTTGCAACGTTTCCTGTTGAAAGGTTTTACTCCAACAATTATGTCTCGTTCCGAATCACACTCTGTTGGTATACCTGTGACGCACTCAACATTCATCGCTCGGCATTCGTTCCTTGACATTCATCCCTTCACAATCAACCCGTGACAATTGCGCTTATCCCTTTGCACTCTTCCCCTCTTCTTTTTCGCTGTTCTGCGCACAGGAATCTCCTTCGGAAGTCTTGGGAAAGGAGCGCACGAGCAGGAGGAAGAAACGAGGAATTTAAACAGCTGACCGCTTCGGAAGAGAAGCTAGAGGGAGAGGAGGAGGAAGAAGTGAGGGACGAGAAGGACGAAGAAGGCAGGGAGGGCAAGGAGGGCGAGCGGGACGAGAAGCAGCCTGCTGCCGACCGATACGCAGTCAGCCGGTCCATGCCTCGGAAGCAGCATGATTGGATCTTTTCTGTTGGATCTCCTAACGGTACTCCCTTTTCACATTTGCTCATTCCCCCCACTTCAGTTGCTCATTGAACCCTGGTTCACGCTTCTGTTCGTTCTCTTTGTCAATTCTTACCATCCTGTCTTCAACGCTCCCTCCGTGCCTCTCCATTCCACCCCTCCCTCCCATCCTCAGTCTCCTCCCCCAGCAGCAGCAGCAGTGGCCTCAATCGCCCACCTCCCGCACAGCTGACCCTTGCTGTGGCCGCTTCTGCTGCTGCTGCTTGCGCCGCTGCTCTCATGCTGCTGCACTCTCGGTTCGCCCAGACAGCACTTGAGCGTGCAGGGAAGCGTGCCGTGGGGCGTGCAGAAGGGCGTGATGAGGAGGAACGTGCAGAGGAGAAAGGCGAGCGTACAGGGAAGCGTGCAGGGAAGCGTGCAGACACACAAGAAGGCAGATTACGGGGGAGTGAGGAGATGTTTGAGGCGCCTCAAAAATCACTTGAGCGTGCAGGGAAGCGTGCTGAGGGGCGTGCAGAAGGGCGTGATGAGGAGCGTGCAGAGGAGAAAGGCGAGCGTACAGGGAAGCGTGCAGGGAAGCGTGCAGACACACAAGAAGGCAGATTACGGGGGAGTGAGGAGATGTTTGAGGCGCCTCAAAAATCACTTGAGCGTGCAGGGAAGCGTGCCGAGGGGCGTGCAGAAGGGCGTGATGAGGAGCGTGCAGAGGAGAAAGGCGAGCGTACAGGGAAGCGTGCAGAGGAGGCAGGCGATCGTACAGGGAAGCGTGCAGAGGAGGCAGGCGAGCGTGCAGGGAAGCGTGCAGACACACAACAAGGCAGATTACGGGGGAGAGAGGGGATGGCGGGAGATGCGGCAAGAGGTTTTGCAGGGGGGGTTGCTCGGGGTGGTGCAAGGGATGTTGCTGCAGGGAATGGGGGGATAGCAGAGGGCACGGTAGATTACATTCGTTCCTTGACGTTCAAGGAACCTGACGGAGGGAGGGTGGAAGCGAGATCAGGGAAGACGAAGGAAGGCCCGGAAACTCTTACAGCTGGTGTGGAGAGAGTAGGGGAGCCAGTTGGGGGGAGTGGTGGGGAGACCGCTGGGAGCGAGAATGAACTGGAGGGTTTAACTGGAAGGGGGAGCGATGAGCTAGGCACAGAAGGTAGTGCTGAGGAGATGGAGGGGATTCAAACCGACGGGAAGCGAAAGGAGTGAGAGAGAGTGGCTTGGCCCAGCTGTGGCTGGAGGGGCAGAGAGCAGGGAGCAGGTGGGGGGACGACAGGGGGAAGGGGAAAGGAGCGGATGGGCGGAGGGACGAGGCGAGAGTGGGGTTTGGAGAGAAGAGGGTAAAGATGCAGTGGATGGGCGTGAGGATATGAGGCGGAGAGGTAGTGGTGATGGGGATGAGGAAGGGGATGAGGGGAAGGGTGAGGGGAGAGATAAGGGAGACCTGCCAGGGGACTTGGAAGAAGATGAACTGCTCAAGTTACTGCAAGGTAACGGAAGGGACATGCATGTGTCACATTTGAGAATTCTCTAAGGATGGGGGAGGGATACGAGAGACCTGCCAGGGGACTCGGATGAAGGTAAACTCCTCAAGTTGCTGCAAGGTAACCGAGAATACATGAAGATAGGTGGCTACCGCTCCAGATCCATGTGATTCCGAATTCTGACGAGGCAAAGTAATGTATTCAGATTTTTGCAGTCTCCATGATACCTGCTGCCAACTTGCGACCTAGATGCTTCCAGATTCCACGTTGTTCACTCCATGTTTTTCAGGGTTGCACGCCGCAATAGACGTTCTCGGAGTTGCAGATTTCTTCGTCATTCCCTCGATCCATGTCTTTCCCGTTTCGTTTGTGTGGATGATGAGGTGGGTGACAGTGACAGGGCGATTTCCAGCATGTCCTTCGCGTCCCTATCATCCACCAACGACTTCGTTTCCTGTTTCTTTGAATTATTCATAAGTTCCTGTTTCTGCCGCCCTTTTGTCTCCCCTTGCCTCGACAGCTCAAGCCATTAGCGATTGGAGCAACCAGATCGTGCTGCAGGTAACGAAAATGTTGAACTTCTTTGGTAAATGAGGGTTTGTTGGTATAACGGTGTACGCATACAACAGTTCAGAGCGTTAACGTTTTATAGGTATCCATGCACTCGCCTCCTCTATTAGTTTCCCATGTTTCATGTACTCATGTGCTTTAGTACTTTCCCAAGTTTCATGTACTCATGTGCTTTAGTACTTTCCCAAGTTTCATGTACTCATGTGCTTTAGTACTTTCCCAAGTTTCATGTACTCACGTGCTCTAGTACTTTCCCAAGTTTCACGTTTCACTCCTCCCTTTTCCCCTTCCCTTACACCAGGGCTTTAACTGGGAGTCACACGGTCAACCCCAGGGCTGGTGGCGGCACCTAGCCTCCCTCGGGCCTGCCATTGCTGCTGCTGGCTTCACGGCTGTCTGGCTACCCCCCGCCTCTTCGTCCCTTGCCCCACAAGGTAAACCCCCCGCCGCTTCCTCTCTCGCCCCTCAAGGTAAGCCCCCTGCCTCTTTGAATTGCGGCCACCACCAGAGCTGGTGGCGGCACCTGGCCTCCCTCGCGCCCGCCATTGCTGCTGCTGGCTTTACGGCTGTCTGGCTGGCCCCCCGCCACTTCCTCTCTCGCCCCTCAAGGTAAGCACACGACTGATTCTTCTGAGAGCTGGAGTCAAACCCTGCTCACTCCACACCATTCTCAATTGTTCCCCACTCTTTTGTCCTCCTATACTTCTCATTTTCTCACTCTCTCTCCCCCCAGGCTACCTGCCCAAGGACCTCTACCACCTATCATCAGCATACGCCTCCGAGGCAGATCTCCGCACCCTCTTTGCTGCTCTCAGGGCCGCCCAGCCCAGCACTGCGGTACCCTCAACCCCTCTCTCTGCCTCACCTCCCCTCTCTCCCCACTCCCAGGCTACCCGCCCAAGGACCTCTACCACCTGGCATCAGCATACGGCTCCGAGTCATTCTTCATTATCCCTCTTGCCCTCCCCCACTCGCTCTCTTCCCTCCCCTTTCTCCCCCCAACAGGCTACCTGCCTAAGGACCTCTACCACCTATCATCAGCATACGGCTCAGAGGCAGATCTCCGTGCTCTCATTGCTGCGTTCAGGGCCGCCCAGCCCCACTCTGGAGTACCCTCAACGTCTGCTGCTAATGGTGCTGCTGCTACTCCTGCTGCTTGGGGATGATTCTGCTACTGTTGCTGCTGCTTCGTCCCCTTCAGCCCTGCTGCGGGTGGTGCAGCGGTGACTGACATGAATCCGGACAGTGGGTTGGATCAAGCAGCTGATTGTGCACCTGGTACCACTACTGATAGCTCTGCCATGGGATGTGCTGCCGCTGATGGTGCTGCCACTGGTGGTGCTGGGAGCGCAGGGGGGCGTGAGGGTGATAGCAGACGTTGTGGTAAACCACCGGGTGGGAAGCCAGCTGGGGGAGGGCGGGCAGTGGACTCGCTTTGACGGCACCTCCATGCCATGGGACGAGAGTGCTGTCACCTGTGACTCTGGCGGCAAGGTGAGAAGTGGTGACGTGAGGTGAAGTGGGTGAGGAGCGGTTGGAAGAGGTGAGGTGCGGTGGGGTAATGTGAGGTGGAAGTGGCAGATGTGGTGCATGGAGTTGACTGGGGGAGGGCGGGCAGTGGACTCGCTTTGACGGCACCTCCATGCCATGGCACGAGACTGCTGTCACCTGTGACATTGGCGGCAAGGTGAGACGGGGCGAGGTGAAGTGCGGTGAGGCGCGGTGAGCCGAGTTAAGGCTGGGTATGGTGAGGTGGGAAGTGGCAGATGTGGTGCGCGCAGTTGACCAGGGGGAAGGGCAGGCTGTGGGGTTCTTCCAATGGCACGTCCATCGCTGTGGGACGGGAGCCGTCACCTGTGCCATTGAGGGCGAGGTGGGAGGTGGGAAGGTGAAAGGTTCTGCCACATCCAGAACCACATCCGTCCTGCTCCAGAGGGGTGTGTTCTGCTCCTTCACCCTCCTCTTCCCTTAAAAACGCTTTTGCCCTTTGTCCTTTCCCTCCCTTCGTCCTCTCGGCTGGGCAACCCCAGCAGAGGCAGTGTGTTTGAGGGGGTATCCAATCCATATCAGCCACTCTCAACCGCTTGGGACTTTTCCCTGTCAACCTCCACCCATTTCCCCTCGGCAGGGCAACCCCAGCAGTGGCAGTGTGTTTGAGGGGGTATCCAACATCGACCACTCTCAACCGTTCGTGCGCCGAGATCTCACAGCATGGCTGACGTGGCTCCAGGTGAGACATGTGGCATGGCTGACGTGGCTCCAGGTGAGATTTGTGGCATGGCTGACGTGGCTCCAGGTCAGACTTGAT